CACCGCCACCACCACCGCCACCACCTCGCGGCCTCCAGGAGGAGCCCTGCCCCATTTGCTACGAGGTGAGTGCCGCATGGCTCCATGAATCCACTAGAGTCGGGTGCTATGAGAAAAGAGGTTGCCCTCAGACGCCCTCTGAGGCGCCCTGTGAGGAGCCCTCTTACGGACGGGAGGTAGTAGTGGCCCTCGAGACCAAGGGCTTGCTGAAGCACAACGGGAGCCAGGACCCGGGAAAGGGGTTTACGTACGATCTCCAGTTGGTCATACGTACATAAGCCTTCTTCCTCGCATAGTTTTGAACATGCTGCCTGGTCTACCAGGACCTCTGTGTGGGCCCCGCGATCCTGGATATGCTGGTTCCAATACCTCACTAAAACCCAACCCCAGTCGTTTCTTCTACGGCGCTCCTTAACTATTTCCTACTGGCGCCTTACTCGTGTCGTGCACGTGCCGTACCTCTACGCGCAGGACATGTTGGGTCAGGATCTCGACAACCTGGTGTGGTGTAGGTTCGGCTGTGGCCGGAACGTGCACGGCAAGTGCATGGGGTGAGTCGGTCGCAGCCGCACAGCACCGTGCGGAAATTGGTGGACGCGACTTAGGCGTGGTGTAGCGTGCCGTGCTGTGTGGCCGCAAAAGGGAAGGGGGGACAGAGCTCCCTGCAAATTGCAGTCGGCCGTTGCATCTTCCCTGCCGTTATAGCGAGTAAGAATACGAATGTCCGTGCCGGGGGCAACCAATCTAACTCCTCATGGCAGTTGATGTCTGGGACGTCGGCAGTTGACCCTTCGCTTCTTGCATCTTGCATCACATGATTCCCCTCCGCCCCTCTACCCCCCTCCTCCGTTCCATGGACACCACATGCCGGGGAGTGCTGGGCGTTGCCACTTCCGAAGTTTTAAGTCATTTCCTTGCATGGCACGTTCTTCACACGTTCCCCACTGTGGTCTCCTTACGACCAACACAGGCATCCCGCCGTGCTTCCTCTTCCCCCCCCGCACCTTTCCCCGCGCCATCTTGCACAGGGTGTGGATGGAGCACCAGGTACAGTCTCTGGGCAAGGAGCTCACCTGTCCGCTGTGCCGCTCCGAGTGGGGGGAGTTCAAATGGCGGCCACCGCCGCCCAAGCGCAAGGCACGAGAGGAGCGCAAGGACGTGCACTACGGCACGCACTGCGGAGCCTGCAAGAAGGTAATGCCGTGCAGTGGCGGAAGCGAGAGGGGCGGAACGGGAGCAGATGTCAGGTCTGATGCTGTGTGGTGTGGCGCGTTGCGACCAAACCCACAACAACCAGGACCAGAAAAACCCATTTCCGGCGCCAATTGCGCAACTGTGTAGCCCATCGCACACGTTTACACGCCTCTCTCTCGCGCGCGCGCGCCTTTCTCCCCAGTCCTGGCCTTGCGTTAAGGATCCTCCCCACAGCCCTGCCATGCCATGCCATGCTTACTTTGCCTCGCTTCCTGCCTCACCCTCACGCCTTTGTTCTCCCCGAGTCCCGCGGACCTTATCCATGCCTCCCAACTCAGCGTGCCGTTATCTTGTAACCCGCCCTCGGTTTCCCCCCCCCTTTTGGGAATCCTCCGTGTTTCAGGCGCCGCTTGTGGGCAAGCGCTTTCGCTGCCTCATCTGTGCTGAATTTGACCTGTGTGAGGGCTGCTTCACCGGCGGCCACCATCCACAGCACCCCTTCGCTGTGAAGGACACCCCCAAGTCCCTCGGGGCGCCAGCGGAACGGCCCGTCATGATGCCCACCGCCCTGCCCATTGCCCGTCTGACGGTGCAGCCCAGCATCGGCCCCGGCGGCGCTATCGCCGGCGTCCCGACGTCGCCACGCCACGGCAATGCAGCCGCAGCCTCCGGTGCCCATATGGGTCAGCGAACTCACTCCCACACGCACCTGTCGGATATCGCCGGCGGTATCACCTCGCCTCGCGGCGGCGGTGGCGGCAGCGGCAGTGGCGATGGGGAGGCGCATGCAGAAGCGGAGGGCGCGGGCCAGGCGGCCGGGGAGATGAGGAGGGCGAGCGCGAGTGGCGTCGCGGGAGGCGGTGGCGGCAACGGCAGCAGCACGGCGCGAGACGCCTTGGTGATTGGGGCGGCGGGGCAGCAGCTACAACAGCAGCAGCAGCACACGGCGGCTGCTGCGCGGCAGGCAGGTGGAGGTGGTGGAGCTGCCGCTGCTGGCGCCAGGTGCGGAACACTCAGGAAGCCGACATATCGGGGTGCGCTGGAAAGGGGGGAAACTTCGCCTCTGTCGAAACTCAGAGTGGCGAATAGGTCGCGTGGATTTGGTATAAAGAACTGTCGCCTTTCCTGGTGCCTAGGCTGAGTTGGTATGGGACATGTCGTCGGGTCATTGGTCTCTTGCCACCTGAACAGATGTCCAATCGCAAACACGTAATTGCTGCCTTTGTGTACACGTATACAGATCTCCTTGGTTGGGTATGCGATGTAACCTGCTGGTTTGTGTGTGCAGGCACCCGGTGCGGGGGACGACGATTGCGAGGGCAGGTGCCGGGCCTCGGATCACGGCCGAGGAGCCTCCCTCATTGGAAGCCCGGCTGGCGGCTCAGCGGCGGCCTCTGCTGGCAGTGGAGGGTCTGACTGTGGGTCCCGGAGGGGCCGCGGCGGCTCAGGGCGGCCAGGCCGGGCCGCCGCACGACCTGTCGGACATGCTGGTGAGGCAGCTGGATGGGTGGGTGGCGAGCTGACGCCGGCATGCTCTGGTCTCTATAACTGGGGGGTTTGAGCACATGAGCACACGGCCGTCGCTGACCGGGCAGGGCGGCAAAGTGTGTGGATTACAAAGGTGTACAGTGCAGGATGCAAAGGTCGATTTGTCCGGGGCCCCAAATGCCGAGAGGCAATAGGACAGGCCTTGTCCCGTGGGCGAGTGTGTACCGGGGGTCTCGTCGGGTCGGGTCGCGCCGTGTAAGGCCGCCTTAGGTGTAGATAGCCCCGTCGTCTTGGACAGGAAGGCACGGCGCGGCGGGCGTGACGGCTGATTGGGAATGTGCACACGTGCGCTCACATTCCTCCATCGCCGCAGCTACGCTACATATACCTCTCAGCCATACACTGATCCCAATGGTCGTGTTTCAGCTCTGTGTGTGGATGAAGACTACCACCCTCTTTCTCTCTTCCTTACTGATCTGCCTCGCCACTTGCCGTCCCCATAACTCTCCCCCCTCTCTCTCTCTCTCTCTCCATCCATCTACCTTTTATCTATCCGTCTATCTCCGCCCGCATCCCTCTCGCGAACGAGTTGTTAATCTCTCGAGTCCTGAAGCGGCCTTCCTTTATCCCAAGACCCTTCCCCTTTCCCCTCGGTCTCACTCAATTGGGGCCGACCGGGTTGGGTCATCGGGGCCGACCGGGTCTAAGGTCTGAAAAGACGTTAGCCTTCTTCCTGATGTTAGCACCCCACCCCACCCCACCCCACCCGTCGCACGCCCCTCCCCGGCATTCTGCGGTCCCGTCTTGCCCAGGTTCGTCGAGCCGCTCTGGGCCAGCCCTCCCGTCCCGTCCTGGTGCGCCGTGCTCGCTCCACAGTGACTCACGACAGGTCCACAGGCGAGGGCTCTGGGGGTGCCGGCGACCTCAACTTGGGGCTGGCTGGCGTGCCGCTCAACGCGGGTGGGGAACGCAGCTTGCACGGCGAGGCTGCAGGACCAGGTGAGAGCCTTGCCGGTTCAGGAAAACTGGCAAGGTTGTCGGTTAGGTTGTCAGTTGGGAAACGTACGTGAATGTCACAGAGTTACAGTGGGCTCCAGAAGCGGCTCATCAATGAATACCAACACGCCCGAACAAGCCAGGCGTCCTATAGAGATCTAACCGGCCGCGTTGTTTCATCCACGGGTCGTTGAAAAGGCGTTGGAATTTTGAAAGGGCGTCGCCATGCTGTGACGCGATGACGCTATGGAGGATATGTGGGTAGGGGATTGCGCCGCAAGCCCGAGCCGGGTCCTGGTGGTGTACAAAGAGGTCCTGGAAAGGTGCGTAGAGGTGTGTACGGGCTGCGCACAGTGGCAAAACGCTTTCAGTTTCCCAGAACTGTGTGTGCCAGTTGAGTTGTTGGATGGCGGTAATGAATTACAGAAACCCGGGGTTTGGGGCTGGCAACCGGTCTAGTTCCTTATGTTTTTGGCATGCGTACAGTCTGGCGGCTTCCAACGTCATAAAACGACATCTGTAAAGGTAAGCTACTACTCAGCGCGACATAGGACCGGCTGCATGAGGCTCCTGAAAGGCGTATTATTGGTCAAACGCACAGGCTTGCTCCCCGACTTCATACCTTATCAAGTGCTGTTTGTTTGCGCCGCTCCTCCTATCTCTTTGGGCTATCTCGCGAGCGTTTTCCAATCCTTCTTGGCCGCAGGCCCGAGCAGCGTGGCGGCTGCTACCTACCGTCCGCAGGCCGCCCAGACCATTACCCCTCGCCATCCACCGCGTGCCAATGGCCAGCTCCCACCTCGGCCAGGCTTGTCCGCTCGACCGCAGCTGCAGCCCCTTACCTCTGGTGCGGTTGCGTGGGTTCAGGGCGGTGGGGCCCCTATGCAGAGCGGTGGGCCTCCTGCTGCCGGCCAGCCGCCTGAACTGGTGCTGCAGGGTCGTGTGGTGCTGCACGGCGAGGTGGCATCCCCGGGACCCGTGGGTAGGCCGCCGGCTCCCCCCGGGCCCCAAGGTACCACAATCGCACACGGAGCCGCGCACAGCACCTTGGTTCAGCAGCCGTCCATAGGTAAGTGAGCGAGGCCAGCCGTGTTCCTCGCTTCCTTGTTTTCTATACATAAACCACCGGCCAAATGCTGTGTATGGCTGTGCCTGGCATGGGCCACATTGCTTTGGTTCAAGGTCCATACGGAAAAAAAGTTCAAGGTCCATACGGATGCCCAGGAATCCTGAGCAGCCTCGAAACCAGCCGAAACCAACAACAACCGCTGCGGCAGCAAATCCTCTCGTGTTCCAAGCATGCTATGATAACCCAGAGCAGCTGACACTGTGTCGGTTGATTTGGGTTTTTTCTCTAATGAGGAATATTTAGGTGGCATCATGAGAACCTACATGAAGACGCTGCCCTTCTGTGCCGCTGAAGCGTGTAAGACCCACTCGGAGCAGGCTAGGAAAGAGCCGCAGTTGGAGGGGAACCCAGGCGGTAGTGGCGTTTTAAATTCTTTGGGTTCGGTGCAGGTATGGGCCTTGGAAGACGTCCTCCCCGTACATGGCAGCACGCTTGTAGCATGTCAACGCGTGCCCCCCCCCGTTACCTACCCGCTGCGCCGGCTCTTGGGTTTTGACGTTGCTGTCAGCCGGAAAGAGTGACCCACATCGAAAAATGCACTTGCCAGCTTCAAGGGCCTATCCAGATCAGGGAAATGGCACTGGCACTTGCCAACGGACCTTGCAATGCTCACATCAGAGCCATGGTGGTTCATTTACCGTATGGTGTATGAGCTCGGAGGTCCCATGTTACACCTGTCATGCTCCCCTTACCGCCGTGTCTCAACCCGTAGGTGTCCGTTGCCGGGGACCGCCACCCCGCTACATACCCCCGCCGGAGAACCAGCAGCCCCCAGGACTGCGCCGCACGCATTCGGCAGGCCCGCAGGGCCCGATGACGCTTGCGGTGACCGCGCGCTCCATGGCACCGCACCCCCTCACCCCGGAGACTCCCTCACCCGTGCCGCTGCCGCCCGCGGCGCATCCGCCGCCGGCGGCCTCGCTGCCTGGCAACCTGCAAGGCGGCGGTGGCGGACCCTATGGGCCTGCTCCGTACGGCAACGAGACGTATGGTGGTGCCATCCAGTACGACGATAACGTGCTCATGGCTTTCACGCACCATATCCCGGGCCCGGGGTCGAGTTTCCGCCATGAGCTAGAGGCCAATGGTTGGCTGGTGCAGGAGGAGAGGGATGGCGTGTGGGGCGTCGGCAGCGACGGTGAAGACGGCGCTGAAGAGGACCCCCTGGAAGAGGAGTTCCCGCGCGGCCCGCCCAGCCCTGCGCAACGCCTTTTCAGCTCGCGGCCCAACACTGTGCCATCGGAGCTTGTCAGCGACCTGTACGGCGAACCCGGGGCCATGAGCCGCTGCCTGAGCCATAGCCATAGCTTCACGCTCAGCACCAGTGGCCGTCGCTGCAGCCGCCTGGGGTTGACCCTGAGCCGCGGCGGTGGCGCGTCCGCGAAACTCCGAGACAGCCTTGAGGACAGCAGTAGCCCGTTGGCGCCGGCAGCGCCTCCCATGGTTTTGAGCAGTCCTCGGACCAGCCGAGCAAGTGCCAGGTTGGCACTGGGTAGTGCTGGCGGCGGCGGCGGTTGTGTCGGCGTGGGCGATGTGGGTCGCGACAGCGTGCTGCTGGCCAGTGTTCGGATGGACGCGGTGGATGACTGGATGGACTCGTTGCGGCGACAGCAGCGACTGTCGCGCGACGGCGGCACTTCGACGAGTCACAGTTGCAGCGGCGTCCCGCCGGGTTCGAGTCCGAGGGTGCTGCCGGTGGAGGAGAGCTTGTTTGCTGCATCCGTTACCAGCTCCATTACAGGGGGTGCGGCGTTGGCGGCGATTGCACGGTTAAGCGTGGCAAATGCGTCAGCGACTGGGGAGGAGCCATCGGGGGCGGTGCAAGGAGAGGCTGCTGTGGCGCTGTCTGCCTCCTTTGAGGATACGCTATCGGCGTTTATGGTAGAGCAGCAGACGGCGATTAACCCTTCGCCCTCCAAGCCCGACCGTGACGAGATAGACTTTACCACATACGCTAATCCCGTCTTCAATCGGCCATACACACTGGACATGAGTTTTCAGTAGCGCGTAAAACGTGGGGTGGGCGGTTGCTAAGTTTCCGTGTTTATGGTGTTGCTTAATAATGTAGTCTTGCAGCCTGGTTGACTCGTTTGCGACGCCCCAGGCGGCGAACACGCGGAGACAGCGGGCCATGCGCCGAAATGTGCAACACGGACGCGAGGTCCACAAGAGCGCAGGTGGCACCCAAACATGGATAATGATTGCACATATTGTTGTGAAGTCTTCCGAGCTGGAAGCGCCTTGTCGGTTGGTGACAGTTGTCCATGACGGTTCGATGGCCTGGCCAGCTGTACGACTCGCTTGTGCTGCAGCCATTATAAAGAATTGCCCCACCATGGTCTTTTATTGCAGACTCTTCGCTTTGTAGCAGCGTGAAGAACGGTTCAGTGAGCTATTTATTTAAACTATTCCTTATAGTTTAGCAACTGTGTAACAGTTGTACCGATCGCCAAGACCTTCACGCCGTTGCAAGACTCCTGACCGTTCGTCCCTTCCAGAGGAATGAAGATCGCATGTATTGGTGCTGGCTATGTGGGCGGCCCAACCATGGCCAGTAAGTACTTGTTCTGAGTCAATGCGATGGGGTCCGGTGCATGCTTGGTGGTGCTCGAGCATAAAAGAGTTATTCTACTCCTAACGACATGTGTAGACATTCTTTAGCTATTATTTGCATTTTCACAATCGAGCATAATTCGGGTCGCCTCTGGTTGATCGTGTAAGATGCTCTGTTGCGTGCTCAGGGGCGAAAGGGCCGTTGATTTTGGGTTACTATTCAATAAGTTGTGATAGTGAATCCAGGAGTTTTTCAAGTTCACTCTGTTATGCGGGGACTTCTGTGCTGGACATACATCTACCGCCTTTGACACTGTGTTTGGTCATTTTCCTTCTTGCAGTGGTCGCGCTTCATTGCCCTGAGATTGAGGTAAGGAGTTCAACCTGATGAGAAAGACATAGCGTCATTGACGGTAGCAACACGTCCAAAGCTTCGCTACACGTACAGTTCATGAAGGTTTGGTGTTGGCTCCTTACCTGTATCTTTGCTGTAGGTCGTGGTAGTCGACATTAATGAGGAGCGCATCAAGGCGTGGAACAGCGACAAGCTACCCAGTAAGTGCGCGAGGCCTTGTGTATTGGGGGAATCACACCCTCCACACAGGTCAGCTAAATTCCCGTGCCAACCCCACGGATGCGACTAACTGGACCTTTTTCAATACTGCAGTCTACGAACCCGGTCTCCTTGAAGTGGTGAAGGAGTGCCGCGGCCGCAACTTGTTCTTCTCCACCGACACCAAGAAGCACGTTGGCGAGGCTGACATTGTGTTTGTGAGGTAAGCGGCTTTTGGTGTAGCATCAGGGTAATGACTGAAGGGTGATTTGGGTCGGCATGTGCAATTGCGGGGTGCGGATGAACTACAGGGAAGTTAAGCCTAAGTGTGTGTGTTGCATATCAGCCCTAAACAATGGTTAGCACAAAGGAGAACGACGCGAGTGTAACAATGTTTATTGGTGACGGCTGATCATCGCGGTCGCTATTCCCTTTTCCCGTTCCCCTTGTGCAGTGTCAACACCCCTACGAAGACCACTGGTATCGGCGCCGGCAAGGCTGCTGATCTGACCTACTGGGAGGGCGCTGCTCGCCTGATTGCGTCGGTGTCTACCAGCAGCAAGATCGTTGTGGAGAAGTCCACCGTTCCCGTCAAGACGGCTGAGGCCATTGGCAAGGTGATCATTCGTGGGCGGTTGTAAAACGTGGTTCCCTTCTGCTGCCTTACCGATTCAGGATGACATTTCAAGATGGAATTTATGCGCCGAGCGATGAGACAGTTAATTTTATCGCGAGTGCAAGAGGGATTGAGGGATTGAACTAAGCCACTCGGCACGCACAAACCTTTGCTGTTTGGACTTGCAATTTTCACCTTTTATGTCCGCCCGCAGGTGCTGAAGCGCAACTGCCAGGACCCAAATGTCCAGTTCGAGATTCTGTCAAACCCGGAGTTCTTGGCGGAGGGCACCGCCATCGAGGACCTGCGCCATCCGGATCGCGTGAGTGCTGACGGTAGCCCTTTAGAGCGCGCTACGTACTTGCGCCCTCATGTGAAGCTCTTCATGGGTGCTTAACATGCCTCCCTCTACTTGCTGCGGAACATTAAGCTTGTAAATTGCATTCCCGTCGCATCTCAATTTAGTCGGTATGTTCCTGTGCAGGGCAGCTGCATGTCTAGTTGAGCATGCAGGCGGCAGGTGTTTGTACTAGTACTAATGCTTTATATCCCTACAAAACAGGTACTGATCGGCGGTTCTGACACCGAGAGCGGCAGGAAGGCCATTGAAAGTCTAGCCTCCGTGTACGCCCACTGGATTCCACGCGAGCGCATCCTGACAGCCAATCTCTGGTCGGCGGAGCTTGCCAAATTGACAGCCAATGCCTTCCTGGCACAGCGCATCTCGTCCATCAACGCTATCTCGGCCCTGTGCGAGGCCACCGGTGCTGACGTGCAACAGGTGGCGCATGCAATTGGCACGGACAGCCGCATCGGCCCTAAGTTTCTGAACGCCTCTGTGGGCTTTGGTGGATCGTGCTTCCAGAAGGATATCCTCAACTTGTGCTATGTGTGCGAGTCCGTAGGCCTTAAGGAGGTAGCTGAGTATTGGTAAGTGGGGGAAGAAATGGGACAGGGGCGTAGACCAGTTTATTTAGGTCTTGATGCAAACCTGCTAGCCTGCAAGGCTACCGCCTTGCTGTAGCAGATTCCACTTGATTTCCACTTGGTCTATGGTAACCTCAGCCGTGACGTGTTGACTGTGTACTCTCCATTACTCTCTCCATTGTTCGCTTTCACAGGTACCAGGTGGTGTCCATGAACGACTATCAGAAGCAACGCTTTGTAGAGCGCGTCATCAGCGCCATGTTCAACACAGTCTCCAAGAAGAAGATTGCCATCTTTGGGTTTGCCTTCAAGAAGGACACTGGCGACACCCGTGAGACACCTGCCGTCGACGTGTGCAAGGGCCTAATTCGCGATGGCGCCAAGGTGTGCGTGTACGACCCGGAGGTGACTGCCGAGCAGATCTTCCGAGATCTTTCGGCGCCGAAGTTCGAGTGGGACCGCCCCAACTACAGCCGCTCTGCCAGCCACATGCTGGAGAATGTGCAGGTGGTTCAGGATGCGGACGCTGCAGCAGAGGGGGCGCACGCTATCTGTGTTCTGACGGAGTGGGACGCTTTCAAGACATACGACTACCAGGCAATGTACGACAAGATGACTAAGCCTGCCTTCATCTTTGATGGCCGCAACATCCTGGACCATGCCAAGCTCCGCGAGATTGGTTTCATCGTGTACGCCCTGGGCAAGCCTCTGGACGCGTTCTTGCAGAAGAACTACGCGTAAGGATGCTACAAGGATGCGGGCATCGGCAGCTGGCAGATAGGCACTTGAACCTTGAATGGTTGTGGGATTGCAATGCGTTACAGATAATGTTTACCGCAGCACGGGCGGGGTCCATGGAAACGTTGGGGCCTAGCGGCGTGCGCAGGCAAGGGTTATCGCTCCTGTGCTCAGGAGCCCGTTACTGCTTCGGTGCAATAGAGCTTTTTGCGCAGGTGTGCTCGTACAGATACATCCTACATCCCATCAAGGCGTGAAATTTTGCACCATAGTATACCGCTCGACTGATAACTTACGCTAATGGCATTTCGGATTGGTATGAGTGTCAAGAGACGTTTTGGCGAGTTCGACTCCTTTATGTACTGAAACCGAGGACTTGGTGGGAGCTGACAAAGGGACGCAGGGTGTAGTTCAGACCATGACTTTGTGCATTTTGCAAGGGTGTGCGCCAAGTAGGTATGCGTAATTTTTTATTATATGTCATTCCTTTGCCTACATGCTTATGGCCATGCAGACCCTGTTTTTGTTATCAACATGTCTCATGGCAGTGATGGCAACATTTCTGGCTGCAACCCTTCCTGTAATTTGCGGACAGAACGATTGGCATGCTTGCGTCACCAACGTGGTTCTGCTTTAAATATGCAAAAGCTTCCCCGAATCCACAGTCCGTAATTCGATCAAAGAATATACTGGAATCGTTGTCGCCCAAGAGCCTAGAAACTGAACTACTTGGCGTTGCATCTGTAAGCCACGAGCCTGCCGGGCTTTGGCACAGACCACACCTCTGCGGGGCGTATGCAGGGCGGGAGTCGGCTGGAGGCCTACCTCAAATTCGCGAAGGAATTTTGCCCCAAGGTGGTTTCGACAAGACGTCGCGCACGCCATCACACTAATACTGGGAGAGTGCATGAAAAATGCATACATCTGTGCATGGGCCAAGGTTCCGCTGAGACGCTTGGGTCAAGGGTCATAATGCTCTGCCACCTCCTGACCTGCCAAGTAATGTTGGCGGGCAACATTACCCGGGGCCTGCCGGCTGGTGGGCCTGTCGGTCGCCCGGCCTACTGGCCTCTTGGCCTCCCAACCGGCTCACCTATTCGACATCAGACGAGCATGTATACATCAGCCTTTCCATGCCTATTTCAGGAAAATTTTAAATCTGATATGGTGTGTGTGTCTGTAAGGGCGTAGCGCGTTCGTATTGCTTGCATATGCGGAAATGGTACGAACGAAGCGGCTGCTGAACATTATGCAGTCGATGATAGTGCCATCGCATTGCAATATTGCTCCGCATATTGGTCAGGTCTACTAAGGGAAAATTCTTGCCTCGGATCGCATCGAAGAGAATCCCACGTGGTAACTGTTACTGTTACGCCCGTTATCATAAAAAATCCCAATTGACAGCTATAACACTCATTAACAGATTATAAACATTGAGATGATCGCGCCGGGATGGAATATCGAACATTTAATTAATTGTGAGCGCGGGTCACGAGACGAATCCCAACAGATGCGTGAACGCCAGCTTTGCCGCCAGTCTATGCGTCCCAAGCCCAGTGTGGAGCGCCTTCTCCCCATCCTTCCTCTCCGCATCCTCGGCCTTGCCCATGCACCCAATGAGTTGATCGACCGCTTAGAGATCTGGTGCAGACTGCTCTCAGCCGGCGTCCAGTTTGCGCCCGGTTCTGCCATGCTTGGACGTTAGCGCAGAAACTATCTTCTGTGCAACGTCATTTCTCTTCACCAGGTTATCGATGCTAGAGAGTTCGCTGCAGTGGGCGAGCCGGGTACGATTACCGAAGCAGACAGCAAACGCAGCCCTCACAACGACTACCAAACCTTACGCAAGCGGAGCCTCTCCAGCCGCCCCGGAACCATCCTCCGGAACCACTCCAATCAAAATATTACTGTTGCTAGAAAACCCTAGTTTGCCTTGCTGAGCTTCGCGAGAACCTACACCATTTAACAAGTTAAATCACGGTTGTCAGTCCGTGGGAACCCATGTCCCCGGAAAATGAAACCCATGAACAGGGGATGTATTGCAAATTCGCACCTGCGAGCGTTACCATTGCAATAAGACACAATGGGCAAGAAGCGCGGCCACCACATACACTTGCATGAATCATCATGCCAAGGGTTCATCGCTGGTCTAGCTGGATGACCCCATTGCATACATCAGCATGGATGTCGGGTTCACAGTCCCCCGTCTTTAGGTCACACCGATGCCAAGGAAGGGTGCCCGGCGAAAGAAAAGCGGCAGGAGAAGTGCAAGTCACCGTGCTGCTATGGAGCACGGTGAGTGCATAGCACATCAAGGAATTATACCCTGTTATTTTCCAGTTTTCGGCGCGATTATCCACCCCCCCATTCAAATCCCGAGTCAGCTAAATCGCATCAAAATTACAGGTCGTGATCCGATGTGATGCAGTTTTTTGTTGACTGTCGTCCGGGCACCTGATGATGCACTGGTAGCGCGGGAAGCCCATCCGGCGGTGGCGATGGACAACGGCTGCAAGGCAACAAAGCTGGTGACTAAGGTGAAGGGCAACGTGATTTTTGAGAAGAACATGTGGCAGGCCAATGCAATAGCTATACAGCTGGCGATCCGCAATGGCAGTCGAGACCCGGTGACTAAGCTACTCACGGATGCCGTGCAGGGGTACTTTGTCTCCGTGCAACTGGTCGGAAAGGTCCGTCGCTCGCTCTGGAAGTGTGGGGCAAGGTCGTTCGTGAAAGATGGATTTTAGATGCAGGTAGTTACCAGGTAGTTGCAATCGGATCAATCTTTTGCTATTTGTGTGTGCGTGTGTGTGTTACAGGGTTGAGGGTGCGTGACCCCATACCTGTAAAACTACCCATACGACCCGAAGGCCCAAGGGGGATACCTGAGTTGCGGTGAGCCCACATATGCTCCAACATCCTCGCCTTAGTTCATCCCCTTTAGGGGAACTAAACGTGCTGGCTCCCATTTCATGGCCTCCATCATGCTCTGTTGACAATTGAATACCTCTTCCGCACGAATATCATTATAGGCTGGGCGTTTTAATAACACGTGTTTTCATCCTCGACTTGCCACAACAGCGGCAAAACCGCTGCTCCCTGGAGACATGGTACTTGCCCCTTCGTGCTCTGTTTGCCTCCAAAGCCCAGCAACATAAACGAAACTGCATTAGTTTACGATGTGCTAAACGAGGAATGAAAACCTTAGCATGTGTTGGCCACATAACGGCTGCGGCTCCCGAAAAGGGCAGCCCCATCCAGTGCTTAAACTATCTTGCTATTGTCTATCCCAGTAAGTGGCCCCCTGTACATACACACATATACACACACACATATACACTCACACACACACACATATACACTCACACACACACACACACACGCGCGCGTGCGCCCGGTCCTTCTCTCATGTTTTAGCCCGTATGCACAAGGTGCTGTACCCTGTTTTGGACGCCTCCGAAATAGCAGCCCAGGTGAAGCAGGGCGCTGATGCGCTAGCAGCTGTGGCAAAGGCTGGGTGAAGCCCATCACCAAGGAGCTGGAGGCCTCCCAGAAGAGGCTGGAAGACGGGATGGAGTCCGCAGCAGAAGGTGGAGTCCGCAAGGAAGGAGGTGGACCATACGATGGCAGCAATGCAGGAAGATATTGACGCGTATAAAAGGCCGCAGCGGGCTTGGAGGTCTGGGCCAAGGTGATGTTTGTGTAGAAGACGATGCATGCGGTTGGGGCCCCATATGCAGCGCTGGGTAGTTGTTTATGGATGGACACCCAGAGCGGAGGACAGAGCCAGCCGCAGTAGCAGATTGGGAACGGGATGAGTAGTGCTCGTCCCGGTGGCACTCATCTCTGGATGTGGTGGTTTTGGCAGCCACTAGTCATCGTGGGGATATGTATGAAGGCTTACTGCGTCATGCCTCGAGAGGTTCGCCTCCGGAATATTTTCCCCTCGCAGTCTTCATCCTGCTTGAAAATAGTCTGGTGGGTGGGTTGGTGGTTATGTGCATCATGGGCTGGTCAGATCGAGAGCCCTTCAGCACCCTGGACTGTACACTGGGTGGGGCCTTGGACGGTGGACGCCTATCCTTATCATCTGGCCACAATCACTGTCCGTGCCGACAGTCTTCGCTTCGAAGCGGTGGGCAAGGAAGTGACTCCTTTGGTTGGTGGTGGCTGAACCTGTTCAGGCCTTTCCTGGCCTACTATGCAGTGTGTTTAGGTGCCGGCAATATCGGGGATCCGATCGTATCCACCGTACCACATTCAATCATGTACGTGCAGTGACATTAATGCTATGGGGCCCGTGCTGCGCTATCTTCTTTAATCGCATGTAGGGAGAGGGGGGTCGGATAAACTGGGCAACGCGGAAACCGCATGCTTCTTAAACAAATATGGGGCAGGATTGGTGAAATTTTTTATTAAAATGGATCTCACTGAACCCTAGAAAAGAAACAGAAGCGGTAGGAAGTGTTTCTTCCGGGGTGTTAGAAGGTCGAGGAAGCCGAGGTGCCGAATAGCAGATATTGTATATTGAAAGACTTGTATCAGGTGATGTAGATAACCGGCGACTTGTGCCGGGCAATGGAGGTAACTGGTCCGCAATGCGGTTAGTGGACATCATGGGCCTGTTACCGGTTAACATTCTTGTTGGAGTGTTACCGTACGACACATAGTACCTTGTAGTCGTGCAATAATGCTACACATGATCCATGCAGCACGCGTACACGAAACTAATAACGGATGCCGATGGGGCCAGGAGGGGCCAGGAGGGTTCAACTTGCAAATGTTGGGTCCTTGGTTGGCTGGGTCACCTAGGATATCCTCCACCGACTGCTGGTCACGCATCCACTTGGAAATTTGCTAAAGGAAATGTTGCCCTGTTGCCCTATACTTAAAGCAGCTCTTATAATTGGTGATATGGCGCCTCAAAAACGTAGGACAAAGAAGGATTGGGCACCGGACCTTCCTACTCACCCCGTACCGTACGGTAAACTTCTAAACCACTTATTTTGTCGTACAACTCCAAAATTAAACAAATCCATGAAATGACTGGCCACTGCAACTCAAGCGCTATCCAACATTGAACCGTGCCGTTCAGGCCATATGGCACGTACCATATGGCGATCCGGTACGGCCCGAAAGCAATCGGTAAAAGAAGTCGCACTGCTGACACCCGAGGATAGCATCCTGCCACGCCACGCTCTGCCGCTCTCACCTAATCTGTGCCGTTGAGGCTCCAGTCGTACTCTTGGTACGCTAACCGCACATCCCCCTGCCCCGATTGGGCCTGCCGCACCATCTCCAGTAGCTCGCCCTTAACTGGCTCCGACAGGAAGCTTGCAATGTACGACAGGCGCTTGTACTTGTCTTGCCCAAAATCAATCGCGTACCACTGGATGAACAACAATCATCATGCCAGCAGTCCGTCAGCGAAGTGAAAGCATGACCGTCGCGATAGTTGAACGGAAAGAGCTGGATGGCGAGAGCTCAAAGACGCGAGAGCTCAAAGACGCGAGGGCTCAAAGAGGCGAGAGCTCAAAGGTACACGCTGTGGTCTACGCTGCGGCCATCCCCTTCACATCATGGGGGGCCCTGCCCGCTCCGGCGGTCCCGCTCCTGTCAGGCCTGCAGAGGCCCCTGCCGCGAGCTACTGCCCTAGCGGGATAGCACCCACCCACCCACCCACTCACCCACCCTCGCATCGCATCGCATCGCCCACCTTGAATATTTTAGACAGCTTGACCTCCCGCCGGGTCTGGTCCACCTGCACTTCGTTGGCGCAAAAGGCTTCCGCAGCCGCTGCCAGACCTTCCTCGAGGTTTGAGGGCGTGTAGAGCTTAATGGGCGGGCAGGACTTGGCGCCGCACACCAACGCGAAGTGGATACGCGGATCGACCGGACTCACCACCTGCACCGAGCAAGCCGTGCCAGGAGCGCGGGTGGATGGGTGGGGTGGGGGGCAGCAGCACCCAGGTGAGGGGTTGAACGCGCCCAGGTGGGGAAGCTACGCTTTGCCCCTATTTCCCTACAGATGGCCTGCGCCTACTAACCAACGTGCACCACCAACACCACCTCACAGCACACAGCCATGGCTTCCCCAGGGCTCGCGCTGTAGTGCCCTGCTGCGGACCTCATCCGCCGTGCTAGCCTCCGAGCAAGCAGCTCCCACACAGCGTTGGAAGGCACCCACACAAAGATCAAGCCTTGTCCGGGTCTTGCCTGGGTTTTCCGTGTTATCATAACCCCAACCCCACACACTCGAGCCTTGTGCCATCCTCCCATACCCCCCAATCCGTAAAGTCCTGCGCCCGGGTGCACCAATTACAGCGTGTTGGAACACACCGAGACTAACACCCCCCAAAACAGGCTCGTTCAACTTAATTCCAACCCAGTCCCCTTCAGCATCCCTTCAGCACCACCATCCATCACCTGGCCCACCTGGTCGATTAGATGCTTCTTACTTCTTAAGCCTTCCCCCTCTACACTACCCCTGCCCCTACCCCGCACAGCACAGCACAGCACCTTAAGAAGGGTCCCTCACCGCGCACCTTGGCTCGCCGCGGGTCGTCCATCCGCCAGTGTGGCCCCGCCAGGCCGTGGAGGCCCACTACGTTAAACAGGTTACCGGCGCCCGCCCGGTCGCCCCGGAGAAGCCCATGCTCCAGGTCGTCGGCGCTGTAGTCCAGGCCACCTTGAGGGGTTAGACAAGAGGGGGAGGAGGAATATAATGGGTAAAATGCACGGATGATCAGCTGCATAACACGGCATCAGCCGGCGTACGAAAAGCCTAAGCGAGGACGGAGGATATCGCGGCACAGCGCCGAGCCGTGTCGCCAGACGCCCGCCCGCCCACCCGCACCCACCCACCGATATTGTACTTGGCAGTGCGAGAGAAGAAGGTGGCTCGCTGCGCGGCGCTCATTTGTGTGAGATTGAGTGCCACCAGCGCATGAATGATGAGTGCGTTGTAGAGGTTGATGCCGAAGGACATCAGCTCCTCGCGGCTCAGCGGAGAAATATCCACCTGTGTGCGACATGGTGTAGCGGTTGAAGGAATAATTGATTCAGTGATTCATTGGTTGGCTGGGTATAGATATGCGGTCTGTCCGGCATTCAATGATTGAAGGATGGCCCGGAAGGGGGTCAGTGGGAAGGCAGGGGGTCAGTGGAAGGACGGAGCGGTGCCCCGAGTCAGAGGCGATAAAGAGCTCTGTAGGTTACAACCGGGGAGGGGAAGACCAGTGAGACTGGGCGTCAGCTTGTGCGAAGGCGGAGGGCCGAGGGAACTGGGCTGGGTGTGGGGAGTTAAGGGTTTTGGCGGACAAGTCAGCGGGGAGACTTTCACGAGGGTTCGACACGAGAAAGACACATCGTCCAGAGCTCACACAAGCATGCGTTAGGAGTCCGTGAGGACGCGCGAAGAGAGCCCGCAGCAGCAGCAGCAGACTTCGGCGCCCGCGTGCTCCACATACGGCTGGCACAGAACCTTCCGGCCTTCCGCCCTCCCCTGCGTAGCAAGGCACACAACCCAGTATGTGCGCTCCACACACACACATACACACACCTTTTGAAGCTCTGCAGTGGATGCAACGAAGGTGGCAAAGTTGGGGTCGGACCGTAAGGCACCGTAGCTCAAGGAGCGACCATCCTTGCTCAGATGCTTGTCGTACAGCTCTAGGATCAGGTTGCGCAGGCTGGCGGCGACCTGGGGAGGTAGGTCGCGGGGTTTGCTGTGCGGGGTTTGCCGTGCGGGGCGCCGTGTTTGCAAGGTTTGGGTATGGAGTGATACGGCCCGGAAGAATGGGATGGCGTTACGTTCGTAAGCGCGAGGATCCGTTCATTCGTTGTTTCATCGTTTCACTTGTTTGTTGTCCGTTGTTCGTTGGCACTAGCTTGCTGGGTAAAAGGTGGAGACTGGAAGTTGCGGGGGTAAGGGACGTGGCGCGGTCACCGTACGGGAAAGAACAGTGGCGAAACCCAACGGAGCCCCATGAAGTCACTTAAGGTCGATGCATCCTTCTAACAAAAGAATCCAGCTCCACGTCCTGTGGATGCATCAATATATGCGGCAAATACATCCCACACAGGTTTTGCAGCTCCTCGATTGTGCAAAGGCGGGTGGTTTGCAATCTCCCACCACTACCATACAAGATTGGGACTTGCCCCCTTCCTACCTCAGCTTACTACACCTGACCCTTAACACAGGCAGGCCGAAAGAAGACGCCTGCTGCTGTTTTTATTGCTGCCATGAAGCTCTGCCTGAGCCATACCGCCCTATATCGCAATGCAATCCAAGTACCCAACCGCCATCACCCACCCACCCAAAGTGGGCCCAAACGACTCCTCCCTCCCCACCCTTCCCCCCTGGTAACCACTAACACTATGTACGCACAACCCTCCAAACTTACATGTCGACGTGTCTGGCCTCCTCCTTACCTCGTTGGGTGGTCGTGCCGGGCCCTGCCACCAGAATTGGGTGTTAAGGGCCTTCCCCGCCGGCGGCTGCGGTACCTCCGTTGGCAACGTAAGCAGCACCTGCTGCTGCTGCTGCTCTTTCTCCTCATCCTTTGCCTCCCATTGCTTTTTCGCCTCCAAAGCCTCCGCCTTCTTTCCCGACTTTGCGGCCTTTTGCTGGGTCCCAGTGGCGGCGGCGGCGGCGGCAAGTGCGGTGGCTCTCGTGGTGGCGAGCTCCTCGGAGGCGAGGACTGCTTCCCCTGCCGCGGCCACTACCACCGCCCTGATGCGCCCCGCATCAACCGGGTCCAGAGCGGCGGGCACCACATAATTGGCGTCCAGCAGCTGCATTGCGATGACTCGTGGGTCAAGTGCGACCCGTGGATCGGTTCCGGAGCCGGCGGCTGAAATCCACTCGATCAGCTGGCGGAGGGAAAAGGCCTTGAAGGTGCCGTGTGATCTGAGTGACGTGGCGTGGGGGCGCCGGGGATGGAGGATTGCCCGGCAGGGGCAATGGTATTGGTGGCCTGCGGTTGACTTAATCCCTCTATCTCGCATTGGTGCTTTGCGAGAAGAATGTATCCTGACTTTATGGCGGGGTCAGTGCCCGGCGGTCGGTCTCCCCCAACAGGAGCTGGTTCACAAAGCTATCCGCCTCTCGTCCGAAAGTGGGAGAGAGCGCCCAGCCAGCCAGGCCAGGCCTCACCGAGCCAGGTCGCTGTGTGCGAATACCAAGTGGCAGCCATCTGAGGTATCCCCCTCGCCCTCCTCCCTGTGTTCCCTGGTTCCCTCCTTAGACAGTTCCCGACTCGCCTTACCCGCAACCAACAGTCCCGCCCGCGCCCGCCCCTCGCCCTCTCTCCCGCACAACGGTTGGAATCAGAGGAGGAACAGCAACTGGACAATACTCAAACCATAGTGCATCATTATGTAACCATAGCACATCTACATGCCATCTACAGTTTGACGTCCTTTCCGACACGCATACAAAAAGTAGGAGCCGCCAAAGATGGCCAGCCTCAAAAGGGGATTACGGAACGGGGAAAGAGCACCCACCCAATGGTTTGTTCTCTCCGGGAAATGCCGCCCTGGCTCTCAGGCAGCACCAACCGCTTCCGTAAATCCGCCAAAAGGGATGTAGTCGCATCGGCCTGGTCCTCCTTGGTCTCCTGAATCTGTTTCGGTGGGGTGCGGATTCAATGGGTTAACACATTTACACAGCGGTTAAGCTCCTCAACCGTCCACATGTGAGTCCCGAGGCCCTCGCCACAGGCAGCCCATCCATCGCCGACAACCGGCAAAGCCCATGGGCCCGGCGCACCAGTCCACGACACCCCTCACCCGACCACCACCACCCGCCTTCTCCAACCCGCAGAACCTCACGAAACCGCAACAACCGCAACATACCTCAACAAACAACTGTAATGCTCTGACAGCGGATCAGCAAAACAGCCGGTTAGCCAGCAAAAGCTCAGAGTCCATACCGCATTGGCCACATGGCCCTGTCCGTGCAGCCTACCGTACCTTGCCGTACAGCATGTTTCCCCACCGACCGTACAAGACACAAGCCAACAAATACACGCGATACTGCATCAGCCGCACCCTGGCCTCTGCCTCTGCCTGCAGCCGTGCCCTTCGGATCGACTCCAGGAGGCCAGGCGGTACGGCGGCAGCAGCAGTGGCCTCCGCCATCGCCATCGCCTTGGCGAAGGTGCCGTCTGCAAGCTGCGCGAGCAGGTCGTCACAGCCACCTACGCTGCGACCTGCCACGAAGATCTGTCGCTCGGCGGGGGGGTGGCATGCGATGACACAGCGGGGTGTGAGCAGAGGCGATGGACTGAAATGATGCCGGGTCAGCGCCCGCGCGACACCCCTAACCCAGCCTGGGACCCAGCCTGGGCAGCTGCAGCCTTAGCACAATACGTGAGTGCATGGTCGGGCAGGCTTATAGCCATCTCAAGCACGGCGGTGGCCGCGTGCTCACACGGCGCCAAGCAGCGGATGCAGCGCAGGTTACCGCACATGGCAGGTAACTGGAAGGACGGCAAGAGAACACTGACGCGGGCCGGGAACCCCCGCAATTCCGAATGCAAACGGAAGAGGGCATATGACAGGTGGGCGAAGAGCTGCAGCAGCTGCTTTACATGGCTAGCTGCCAGGTGTTGAGCGTCGCAGGCAGGGGAGAGCCGCCGACCCAGATGGGTGATTTGGGTCGGCAGGCGCCCACAGAGGAAGGGGAACCCTCGGGAGGAGGCCGCACACGCACACCATGCTGTTAACCGATTCATAACCTCGGCTGTTGACACACAGCTTATCCGGGCCTTCCAACCGCTGCGGCCCGGCCTCTACCTGAGGTACAGTGCGGCTGCCGGTGATGTCGCGAACCAGCTGCCTCAAAGATTGGTCAGAAGCTACGTTGACGTCCACGTAGGGGATCCCAGCCCTGGTCAAAGCGTCTTTGGCTTTCTTGCAATAAGGACAGGCAGGTATGGATACAACGGCCACGCGTGCCTGGCTCAAATCTGCATGTGATGCAGTTCCCAGAGGTCCCTGGGGGCCCGCGCTGGTGGCGCTGTCCGAGGAACTGGCCTGTAGGAACGGCATCTGGCTTCGGGGGAACGTCGCGGGCGGGACCCGGCCAACCTGACGCATCCATTTGAAAGCTTTGGCTCGATGGATAAAGGGCTGTCTAACTGGGCTGCCTTTCAAGCATCTTGTAGTGGTCGCATGCTTCCAGAGCAACATCACGTTGGCTCAAGTGAAGACAAAAGCACTTACGCAAAGTATCACCTCTAGCATATAAGCCACATGCTCGGTCACACAAGGGATTGTATTGATGCAGCAAAGAGTAAGAGTTCTGAACAACGGAAGTTGTCCAGTCGTGGCCTTGCCGTACCTACCAACCGAAATACTACCCAGCTAGGATTTACAGAGGTGGCCAAGACACATAGTTTCCGTAGATTTATGGTATGAAAGTAGCCTATTTGGGCTGTGAAGTTGGAGGTTGACCCGTTCGGGCGGGCCGTGCGTGCGGGCCAAAGTTTTGCGTACCAAATCATCATGCTTTCAATTCCATACGGCCGGTGAAGCCAGCTGTAATGTCAACTCGTGTATCCTGCAGCTTGGGGAGCTGGGTGCGTCTTGCGGGTGGCGGCCGAGCTCTACGATTGGCGTGCGCTGCGAAAGGCTCTGCGCAGCTAAAGGTTGAACCTTTGCCAGTAGTAAACGAGCAAGAACATCTACAGCGTTCCTTGGACTTGGGCCCAGCCTTCAAGCAGGCACCAGCCTTTGAGTATGTGGCGGTCGCCTTCCGTTCGCAGCCGCGGTCCAAGCGCAACAAGGTGCAGCAGCGAGGCGTCACCGCAAATACAAAACATCAAGGTGGAATTAAGAAAATCTTTGGCAAAGTCGATGATGGCCAGGCGTATCGCACGCTTGAGATGGTATCAGGCGATCGAAGACTTCTCTTCGAGTCCACAGAGGGCGGCGGGAACGCCACAGCAGCTTCTGGAGCGATAAAGCAACACGAGTCCGCAGCTCTGCTTGGCAACACCGACGCGAGCACCGCGACTGCCGACACCGTCAAGACGCCAGCAAACCCTGTCCGCACACGTCGACGGGCAGACAGGCAATTAGCCAAGCTTAAGCAACCCGGCCCCAGGGCATACACCAGCCCTGGTACCGCAGCCCGTACCTTGGAATCTCGAAGGAACTCTTTCCGGCCTGTGGCTTCTAGGATGGCGCCTGCTGCTGCTGAGTGTCCGCTTCGACAGGGCAATCCCGCAGATGCCTCCCGGGTGCCATCCTGGCCGGACACAACCAATCCTTCCGACGAGCAGCCGACCCAAACCACAGTCAATGTCCCTGATAGGACCAGCAACATGCGCGATGCTGCCATTCCCGTGTCCGTCAGCCGGCTACACCACCTCGCCTCCACGGACACATCAATTGGGCAGCAACAAGAGCCAAAACAGCCAATCCCCCCTCAAACTTCCCACTCGCAACAAGAACGAAAACACCCGCAGCCGTCGCCGCAGCGGCGAGCGGCGGCTCGTCACAGTCAACGTGTGGTAGCGGCGGCAGCAGGGGTAGACATTTTGGCTGCCGACGCGCGTGCGGTCGCCGGCGAGCGCCTGGCAGCCGCAGCCGCGCTACTGCAGATGCCTGTCAAGGAACTGCACCGTTATCGTGGCTTCTGCTCGGAGCTGCGCGCTCTGGAGCTCAGTCCTGCGGCTTTGGCGGCGCTGTGCGGCGTCCTAGTCCAAGATCTCGGCCTGGCACCGCCGCAGCTATGTGCCGTTCTGCTGCGTCAACCCCACGTACTGCGCGTGCCGCCGGGTGTCCTTGCGCGTCGCGGCGCCGCGCTGGCGCTGGAGCTACAGCTGCCACCGCCTCTGGGGCCCGGCGGGGGCGGCCCACTCGCCGCCATCGTGGTGGCGGTTCCGGACGTGCTGTTGCGGCGCAGCGAGTTTGCCGGCACCACCGCCGCGCTGGCGGAGGCGCTGGTGCTGCCGCCGGCTGATGCCCTGGCGTTACTGTGTGGCGAGCCGCAGCTGCTCAGGCACCAGCCTGGGTTCTTCGCGCTTAGTGTGGCGCAGCTTAGGGAGCAGCTGGGCCTGTCCCCGGCGGCTGCGGCGGCTCTGGCGGCGGCTGAGCCACAGCTCCTGTCGGTCTCTCCCGGTGTGTTGCATGCGAACGGCGCACTCCTGCGGTCGCGGTTGCAGCTGCAACCCGAGCAATTGGCCGAGATGGCAGCGCGCGCCCCGGAGCTGCTCATTCGGTCGCCCGGCGTGCTACGCGCGGTCGTGCAGCGCCTGACGGCGGTGCTAAGTCACTCTGCGGCCTGGAGGGAGGCGCTGCCGCGGCTGCTGGCGTCGCCGCGCAACCTGGCGGTGGCGCTGTCGTTCGGCAGCGACCGATACGATCGGCTGGAGTACCTTGCGGCGACGGGACGTGACCGGATCATGAGCTTCAAGGAGGGCTTATCGCTGAGCGCGGAAGAATTCCAGGAAGTGTTCCCGGAATACCTGTATAACGACTGGCGGAAGGCGGTTGCTCCGCAGGCGCAGCCGGCAAGAGTGTCCCACCACACGCACGGGGCGCCCGCACACTTGCACGCCCCCTCGCACGCAAGGTCGACTCGGACTGGGTGATTTACGGATCGAGTGTGTTGCAGCCGTACAGTACAAGGTGAAAAGATGGTGAAGATGATCAGGATGTGATGTCAAAGCTTAGCTGTACTGTACTGGACTAGGAACTTGCGCGAGGGGAGAAGTTGCTTGTCCTGTTATGGTGCGGAAGACTAAAAGAAATGTGGAGGTTGGCATCGTATACATACACTGGTGTCTGGGATGTACGGTCAATGTACGTGCATTCGTTCTTGGCCATGCTGCGGTGCTTTCCGGGGGATGCGAGAGCTCTTCCTGCCCCTTGGGGTGTATGACGTGGTAACGTTGCTTGCGGACGACATTGGCAAACCTGTAGAGCTCGCGATGACTCAACACACAAAAACTTCGGGAGGGGAGCTGTGCTGTCCGCATTCGGGCTGCGACAGAGGCCCAGCAGATCGTGCTGCTGGGGGCAGAGGGGTGGACTGAGAGCTCATGTGTGTTTGCAACCAGGGCCATGTCTGGGGCCAGGCCGTGCCGCCCGTGTGTGCATGTGTGCAGCAGCAGGTCATGGGCGGTTGCAGGGGTGCACCAATTGCATTACTGGGTCCAGGGAGGGAGAGCCGCCGCCTTCACGGGGCCCCGTTACGGTGGGGGAGCAGTTGTTGTTGGCAGCTCTAGCATCAGCTCACCTCACCGGCATGCCAGATGCGCGAAGATGGAAACACCAGGCTGGAGCGGGCCTGTCCGTGTCTGGTCAACACGTGGGACACGCGAGGTACGCAACGAGGTATGCAACGGTTCATTTCGGTTGCCTATAGGCTTTGCTTTGGAAAAGAAGGGAAAGGGGAGCTCTGGGATGATGATAACTTGTGTTTCATCCGTTACCGGTATCCCACGACTAGCCATTTTTAGCGAGGGGCAGGAAGCAGTATATGTTACACGTATGGCAGCATGTGTAATACCCTTGACCATCTCTAGGTTTGCAACATGTCGCACTAAAGCTCTCGTCAACCTCTCTGCCTGCTGCTCCTGACACCCCGCACCCTGGCCTGCTCCGCTCTGGCCTCACATGTTGCCAGGCTCCATGGACATCTCGCTGTGCACAAGGAGATTTTGCGACGACTCGCAAGCGACCGGCATCCAGACTTCTGGGCATCAATCTGGGCATCAATGTCCACGCTGGGCTATTCGTATACAACCCCTGGTGGTGGACTGGTCGCTGGCGGCTAGGGCGCAGTCGCATAACCATACCCTTACCACCACCACCTCCACCAAAGATGACTCCCGTTAAGAAATCACGCAGCAGCACCCCGTCGTAAGGTTGCCTACGTGTCCAATGTGATGCCACCCGTGCTGGGAAGCGAGCTGCAACGGGCATTCCCCAGCTCCGCCCAATGTCGCATCCATAGAGCCCCAGCCGCCGCCAGAGTTATATGAGCCGCAATCAGCCAGGCGTTATGCCCCAGGTGGGTGAGGGCGGCCTGCACGCACCTGCTGGATGATACCGAGCTGGCCAGGCTTGAAACAGAATGCGTGTCGCCATGTGCGTTTGGAAATGACTGCCAGGTGTGTCGCTGTACGCCCTGCTTCACGCAGTTATCGTTCTGTCGTTCTGTCGCGACCCCGTGCCCCTTGCCGGAGGCTGGGGATTGACGAGAACCCCACCTTAGCCGCTCGCCCTTTCTTGCACCAGCTGCTTTCCACCGTCTTTTGACTTGGAATTGCCGCTGTGTACTGCTGCTTCTGCTTCCGTCACTCCTGCTGTTCGCAGACGGTACAGCTGGCGGTGCTGGACCCGCCTGGCTTCATTGGTTGAAAGCAGCGGGGAAGCGGCTCTCGTTGGGGCCCGGCAAATGTGCTGCATGACGTCGATAATGAATGAGTGTGATCCATGACGTCTGGCCGTATTCCAACTGCGCAAGATGGGGATGACGGCTCTCAAAGCCACAAGCCAGGCCGTCAGCAAAATACCCCCTCTGGTGTCACCCCAGGTTACAGCCTAATCAAAGTCCTTTGAAGAGACGGGGCGATCCGGACCAGCATCTCGCGAACCGGTATTCACATACGCCCCTGCGAAGAGCCGGCGATTGCAGACGTGGGAGACATAAGCGGAGACGGGATACGTGCACATAATAAACAAAGCACGCCACTAAGGGCATACCTCTTGTCTGCATCCCCCGTGATAGAGGCTTGTTAAAATCTGGCTGCGCTTCAGAAAAACACGCCGAAAATGCCATCAGCTCTCATCTTACGTCATATAACTTAGGCCACGATCTCACACCTTTGGGGCGAAATTCATGTAATATATCACTGGACCGAAAGCCAAAGTCATTATACTGCCCATAGTGACAAGCGCTAGGCCTCCTTTACTACGCTTGATGCTAGCCCAGAGAGACATTCAACCAGGACCACCCTGTAGAACCGTGATCTACTAAACTGTTTTTTATGGAATGCACGAGGCTGGCTTACTCAAAGCGGAGGTATGGCTACAATCAATTCAAGCGGTAGCTTTTAGAGGCGCGATGTGTGCGTTAAGTTTTGGGCTCAAGCAGATCAGTAGTAACGCTACTGGCATTCGTAAATGTTTTATTTCCGTGCCTACACGTGGGCTTCTCTGGCCACTTTGTACTGGTGTTTGCATAGTTCGGTTTGGTCGTACAGCTCTGCCAAGCGTGTACGCGGCCAAGTGATGCGGAAGGCATGCGCTGGTGCATCACACCGCTCTGAACGGACACACCGAGCTCCATCGTACGGGTAGATATCAAACTGCCCGTGAGCCTAGGCAGGGCTTGGATGTGCAGCAGCTGATAAAGCTAACCTGGTCATGACCATGCACCAGCATCTCCAGGGCACGGGAGGATGACATCCCCACGGCTTTCGTCAATACGGGATGAAGGAATAGGAGCAAAACGTAGTCTGAACGAATGGGAACATTCCAGACACAACTGGCAAGGGCTCGAGTATGTTTTCGCTTCGGGACCATACGGCAAGGTCGGTAGCAGCGGTCGGGACAGTGGTCGGGAGTATTAAAAATTACCTTCCGGAAGTCCACATATCCCGTTCCTCATCGTCACAAATGTCCTCAATCCAAACCCTAGGCCCACACACCCCAACCTCCCAAAGGCGTTTCGACCGCGCGATTTATGTGCCACCTCCACATATCCTCGGGAGGCCTTCCGCCTGCCCCTTTTGCTGGTGACTGGTGGTGATGAGATGTGCATCGGACACCTTGGCCATTTAAATACTGAATAAAGACCATTTGTGGTTCGAGTGGTTCAGCTTTTTGCTACCTTATCCCTACCTTTCCCACCAGGCCCGCCCCAGCCCCGCCTTTCCCCCGCCATCATCCTGCAACTCCCCCCCCCGAGACCTCCCCCGCGCTCCGGATGGTTCGGAGTCAGATGCGCAGCCCGATCTTGCCCAGCCACCGCATCACCCGCAGGTAGCGCTTGTTGTGCTCTATCTGGTCGCTTCCCTTGCTGGCGTACTTGGGGGTGCGCCAGTCGGGGCCGTAGCGGTGCTGCAACACGGCCTCCACGTAACGGGGCGCGGGAGCTGTGGAATCGAACATGGGTATGGTGCCCAGGGGCAGGACCAGCTCCCTGCCGGGGAGAGGGGAGTAGCCGGAGTACCCAGGTGATAGGGCGAGTCAGTCAGGGAAGTGGAGGTGGAGGTGGCAGCGCAGGAACCGGGTAACAGCGAGAACTTGCGGCGTGGTGGCGGTCTCCTTAACAATAGTGATGGCTAAACAGCCAGAGAGCCTTCTGTGTGAGAGCTAGGGGGATAGGGGGACCAAGTACCACTAGGCAGGAAGGCAGGCAGACAGACAGACTGACAGGTAAACAGATATAGACCGGCAGGCACACGGCCTGATTGACCAACTGAACTGACAGGAGCGGCAGCAGGACGCCGCAACATGAGGAGGAGGAGGGGGAGGAGGAGGAGGACGCACTTGGGTACATCGCAGTGCGCGTTCTTGTTGATCCGGATCTTGGATCCAAAATCGAAGCCGCCAAAGAGGTCGACCCACATCACCTGCCGGACAGGACCGGAGGGAAACACCACAGCTTTACCAGGCATAGAAAGGAGGGTCCTCCGAACAAAACATTCAAACCTGTGGCAAGTGCCATAGTTCGCACCCCGCGGCCTGCAGAAGCAGGCCGCATGACCGCCTGTCAAGTACCGCATGACAAGCTGGCAAGTTACACAAGTGCCGTGCACAAAGTGCCGTGACATCCGTTTTTTTTAAAGGCGCCCCCCCCCCTCGAGGGGTCCCCATGGCTGGTTGATTTTCATTGTTGTGGCGCCATTGTTGTGGCGCCGAGGGAGGTGCCAAGGTGAGAGGTGCCGAGTGAAGTAATGCATTCGCATTCCCTGGCTGGCCGTTCTTGCCGTACTGCGCCAGCGGGGGCCCCTGCGACCCCGCCAGGCATTGACAAGGTAGGGGGCGGCCAAACACACCGGCTTACTAGGCGGGTAACATCCCCCCCGGCCCCCAAGCGCCCCTCCTCGTACCCTGCCCGGCAGGTAGATCCGGATCCATCGTTGGACGAGCCCATCCCCCAGGTCGCGACTCTTACCGATCCAATCCGCCGTGAAACCCTAGGGGAGCGCGACATGGTGGGGGGGGTTCTTCGGGATAGCGCGGCGGGATCGGGCGGAGTAGGGCCTGGCAGGTAGGGGGCGCCGGTAGGGGGGCTCGGGGTTGCAAAGCCTTAGGTACTTGCGAAACCTCCTCCACACGAGGGGGGAAAGAGGCGAGGGGCATCACGCGACTCTAAACCCCCAAAGGAACCCAGGCAGGGGCGGGCGGCACGGGGGGGCCGGGGGGAGGTGGCCGTCCAAAGCGGATTGCAGAGCAAGCGAGGCTCTGAGCCCGCGAGTCCTCTCTGAACCCCAATGTGGCCCCACCCTCTGCCAGGTTTCCCGTTGTCCATACCAGCGCCGTACACTGCCGTACAATCGTCACATGTACCTTTGGCAGTACTCCCGGTGTCTGCAGCTTCTCCAGCAGCGCCGGAAAGTCTGGCTCCAGAACCACCAGGTCCACGTCATTGTCGTGCTCGTATACGTCATTGTTTCGTGCCAGCGACATGAGCGACCCAAAATCCACCCAAAAAGTAATGCCCGCCTGCGGACGCGGCGGGAGGGCGGGAGAGAGGGAGGGAGGAAAGACGAACCAGGAACGAGTGAAGCTGCTGCCAAGGAAAGACAAGTAGAACTGACCAGTAGGCGGTTTTGAAGGAGCCGACCTCGGGATGATGTAGTGATGACGACCGCGGAAACCTACCTGCCTAGCCGCCAAAACTAAAATAAGAACGGAAGAAAAGCAGTAGAGCAAAGCCGTAAAGAAGTAAAGGTAGGTGTACAGGCGGCGAAAAAGAACTGATGACGTGAGCTGGAATAAAGTTTGCCGCCGACCTGGCGGCGGCATTGAGGCGGGAGGGGGGAACCCGGCGGTCGCCGCCCGGCAACGAAAGAAAACGGCCTGATCCATGAATGATGTCTTTTTTTTCCGAAACCAATCCTGACCCACATTTTGCAGCGCCGGTACGATCTCCCGCAGCGCCCGTCTCAACAGGCGCTTCTTGACCGCTCGATACGCCGCCAGCGCCAGCCACAAGCCGCCGTACACGATGCCCACGGCACCCGCGCCGCGCACTACAGCTTGCGCGGCAGTAAGGCCTACCGCCGCTGCCGCCGCCGGCGGAGCTGCAGCCCCACCATGCCCGCTTCTAGAGGGCCGCGGCGGCGGCCAGCAAGGGGCCCCTGGGGACTGATTAAGCAGGGGGTTGGCCGCCGCCGCCGCCGCCGCCGCCGGCTGCGGCGGCTGCGGTTGCTGTTGCTGCTTGGCCGTGGAGACGAGGGGCAGGTTCGTCGGCGGCGGACCGTGCAGGGGGAACATAACCGCGACGGAAGAGAGCTGCTTGTGCTGTCGTAGTGAGTTAGGGGCCTTGATGGTGGTGCTGGGTAATGTCCTGGCCGGGACCACGGGAACCAAGGAAGTGAGCCGGGACGCGACACAAAAGCCTATCCGGTGTGCGCCATCGAACAACGATATTATTGCTGGTCCGATTTTTCTTTAGTGGATAGCGATGGTGACAAAGTTGTTGCTGAAGGAAGAGAGTCAGTCTCTGTTTTGCATGAAGGCATGAAGGTGGTGCGCTCTCCCGCGTAGAGTTTTCGTGAATCCGAGGGCATCGTGATGTCATCGTACGGAAACGCGAAATAATTTGTTGGCTTTGGCTCTGCGCTGTTACTACTGTAAAACAACTTACAACTTTTGTTACTATCGGGGTACTTGTATAACTCCATCCTGATCCCTTCGCAGCACATCTTGGTAGTTCCCATAATGGCCATCGGCTCCATGTTAGTTTGCCGGTTTTGCCGCGTTTTGCATTCGGTTGGGACAACCCTCGCTGTATCCCGCCGCTACAGGGCCGATTTCGACATCTCTGCAAGCGCCCATGCGGGGCGCGGGCTGGCCTGCGCCAAGAAGATGATGCATGACCAATTATAGAGCTTTAACAAAATCGGTATGTGTACTGGACTGGTAATAAAAATGCTAATAGCCAGTTTGGAAACACAGCCTAAAGATCCCTATAGGGGTCTAGCAGGTCTTTCTGCTGGTTCCGACCCATGGGTCCATGATGCGTTGTTAACTCCTGAGGATATATAGGGCCCCACAACATACATGGATTTATGGGCTCAGGATACTGGGATATCATATATAAGCACACAGCCCAGCCCGTGTATCAGTGGGCTCAGCAACGACTAGGACATCGCATACCTCTGCTGCAAGCAACCCACATTCCGCAGGAACGTATTTCCCAGCAGAAGCTTCAAGCACTGTGCGCACCAATTTTATCCAGATGTTCCAATCGGGTGCGTGATACATCCATTCGATGGAAGCTGCAGGGCTGCCATATAAACTCTTCCTTGGCCAGGGAGGTCTTCCAATGATAGCTGACAACAGCCGGCAACACCGCCGTTGATTGTCAACAACACTCCTGCTCAAGCTGTGGGCACAACTCCCAACCTCTCCGGCCACAAGCCACCACAGACCAACGTTGACAGGTCTAGAACGGTGATGGTGGTGATACCTAGTAGGAGGCGATTATTTAAACATGAACAACTTTGGAATGTGGATGTTTTCCTGGCTATGTAGCGAAGACATCGATATGCTTTATCAATAATGATGAAAGTCCTGGGCGCCCAAGATGATGCTGCATATAAGGGGGGCATGCTGCCCAAGGGTGCCAGGCCCATGTGCACATGCACCCGGCAATCTGCAACTTAATTAATGTTTCGTGTCCTTTTTTTGACTTTAATTGTGTGGTGTGCTAGATGAGGCTTTATTGTCAGTCTGCTTGGCCGCGTAAGGCGGTGCGTTTGGTGTTCGTCTCAGGGCCTTGCACATGAGCGCTCCCCGCGGCACATGACGAGAGCCGCCGGTCGGGCTACCCTGCCACAACTCCCACTCCCAAGCCAGGACGGAGGCCTATCTGTCAAAGGGGCGAAGGGTGTCCTTGAAGCGCTCTTGAGACACATTTCCGATAAGTCCTGAATTCCTGCGGCCTGGTAGTAAAGGTGCGCTCTAACGCAGGCGGTATCTCCAACAGAATAATACGGAGGCCGCGGGGGGGGGGGGTCGGTCGCAGTAGGGTTCGTCATGCGAAGTGGGGGTTGGTCACGGCTCCGCCCTCCCCGCGCCATATCCCCCAGATGCAGCAGCTTCTTCATCACGCTGAACAGGCTCTTGGTTCGTGCCTTCACCAACAGGCTCCCCGACAGCTTGCAGAAGTCCGGATGCTCGTCCAGGGCGGACAGCAGCCGCTGCTGGGCGCTGAACAGGAGGTCCTCGGCGGGGTCCAGCAGGCTTGGAGAGATGCGAACAACAACGGGGTCAACAAGTTACAACACCTGGTAGCTGTCCTCAGTCCGGACGACCGCGCGGCACCGGAGGATGTGAAAAATGTACCCTTGCTGCAACCTTCATACCCTCCTTACGTCGCGCTCGCTCAGCACCTGTTCCTCTCCCTCCCTCCTTCCCCCGCGCATTCCCGTTGCGAAAACCCATTCAGTCAAAGGAGGAGGCCGCCTCTGCAAACCCGCACACACACACACACACAGACACCCTGAAGCTGTTCTTCTGTTCGCACCGAAGTACTTGGTAGACAGCTATCGACGGAGCTTAACGACATTCCTTGAACCCCTCTTTTGAAGTTGCCGCTCAGGTGCACTCGCGCCACAACACCACCGCCCACTTTGCCCCTCCCCCCGAAAGGAAAGAGCCCTGTACAAGTAGGCCCCTGAATGTCAGAGCTGTCCCACATCATTAGTAAACAAAGGAAGCAAAGCTGCACAAAAGAATCTTTTCGAAATCTATCCCACAGAAAACAGACAGGGCGCTCTCATCTATTCGCCGCAACGCCGTACATCATTTTTGTACGGCAATCACCATCACCAGGCGCCGCAACGTTTGCCACCGCCAAATTTTGGCCCCAGTCTTTTCTTTGCGGCCCAGAATTATGACATGGCAAAGCGCCCATAACAGACAGGCGCTGATGCCCTTACTGAGCTGCCACCCTCAGGACCTCCCCGTAAGGGTACGGCATGTACGACATGTACGGAATGTAACAACCGCTAAGGAAAGTTCTCCCCTTACACGCAATGCCGCTAACTGACCTGACCTTCCTACACAGTGCCATGAACAGTTCTTCATAACCAACCACATAACAGAAATGACAACGAAACATCTCACCGACCAAAGCTACAACTCAACCGACAGCCATGAACAAGCGATGAGGAGCAGCAGAGCAGAGCAGCAGCAGCAGCACACCGGGCGGTACTACCATACACGTGAGACAATTTGCCTTTTTAAGCAAGGCCTGCGAAAGCCAAAACCAGCACCAGGAAGCGAGTGAAGGGCAGCGAAGTTTTGCGTCGCATATGTCCTCGTGACACCTCAGGCCGCGAACAGCACCTAAGAGTACATGCTACGCGACCGCAACTAACGAGGGAAATGTACATGAGGAGGAGAGCCCGTAAGAGCTACCACGTCAAACAAAGAAATGAACAAAGCACGAATCTTTTCTAACAATTTTCGAATCTCATACAACCAACTCCCAACAAAGTTATAGCCGCGCAAAAGCGCAACAAAGCAAATGTACACCGACGACTAAACGACAGACGCTAGATTGATGATGGTGATGCGCTGTTGCTTTGTTTTATTAAGTCCAGCCTCACGCGACTTTGTGTCCGGAGCATGTTATTCTAATTTGCCAACTGCGAAACACGACTGACTTGCATCAACAAAGCAAACACCATGTTTCAAACGACGAAAACCGCTTTCGTAGTGAACTAAGAACTAAGGAGCGACGACCATCGCTAAATAGCAACTAGGGCAGGAACAGCAACTCTTCAGCACGGCCAGAAGGAAGCGTGGCATCAGTCGCCAACGCCTCTTTTCTCCTGTCACTCCAACACCTGGTGTACCCCACCGGTGGACTACGCAATACAATCCGTAACAATCCACACATACGCAAAGTGTGCTGCACAAAAACAATAATCTCACGGAACCCAACAACGCATCTCACACCTCACGTCAGTATCTCGTCGCTCCTGCAAACACAACTTCCAAACACACACACACACACACACACACACACACACACACACACACACACACACACACACACAGACAGAGAGACGTACTACACGTAGGTGCATGTGCACAGCCTCAAGGTGCCTTCCGAAGGTCCTCCACCTCATCCACCTCACCCCCACCCCCACCCCCTCAGGTCCCACAGGCGCGCATCGGGGGGCCCTCCTACCGGGAGAATGCAATGCCGCGTACCCAGCCACGCACAGCACCCACCCACTTTCACCCCTGCATTTCCGAAGCCCCCCTCCCAACACCCTGACATACATACATGCAATCATACACACACAGCAGGCAGCACAGCGCTGCGTTCTGTGGGCAGTGGCCGCGCAACACCGCGCACGCCTCGCAAACTCACACAGCAGCAGCGGAACGAGCTCCCCAGGACAGGACAGGACAGGACAGGGCACACCACATGGGGGGGCCGGGTGGATGAATGGACGATGGCACATTCCGGAAGCGTTACTGCACCGCAATGCGGGCGGCAGTTGCGTCACTCACTTGTGTCGTACATGTCGTGCTCTGCACGATGAATCCCCAACAGACAAACATCCGGGCAAGTCAGCCTACGATGAACAGCTGCCTCGGACCACCGCCCCGCGGACCACCTCCGCCAACACGTCGCTCCACCTCGGCCACATGTGCGGCATCGGAGGTATCTTCCCCTCTTCCCCTCTTCCCCCTCCCACCCTCCCCGTCCGCGCGTCCTTTGGCAAACGCCGCTCTGTCCTATCAAGCCCACTGTAGACTCCAACTCCGCAAGCTATGGCAGCACCAAGGGGCAGCCAAGCAGCAGCCCTTCACCGCCCTCCACCACCACCACCACCACCACCATCAGAATTACAAGGACCATCGTCATGATTGCCCCGCCTCCGCCGCCTCCACCTCCGCCTTCGCCGACTACCAGTGGGCCACTTTTGGCGGTAATGTGCAGGACGGCATCTCAAGAGGCCGCACCCCGCACCACCCCACCCCAGTGAGCAGCTCAGATCAAGGGTGTGATCAGCTACGAGGAGGACCTTCCCACCGGCCCCCGACCGCCTCCTCTCCGTACGTGTGTGTACGACTCCTCAGTAGTCTCTGGAGCGGATGGCAAGGCTCTTGCGGCGTTTGGGCGAGGCGGCCCGGCCCGACCGGGCCCCGGTGGCGTCACCCCCCTCCCCGCCGCCGCTGCTGCTGCTGCGGTGCTGAGCCTCCGCTGCGACCTTGGACACGGCGGGACCCTCGACGTCCCACGGCTCATGGGTCGACGGCTGGACGAGGGAGGCAGCGGCAGCGGCGGCGGCGGCGGCGGCGTCCGCCGTCGTTGTGGTTTCTGACGAGCGCTTGCTTGGCGGCAGGACGTCATCTACTGCTGCCGCCGCAGACGCTGCTGCAACCGCGGCATCTGTAGCGACTGCGGCAGCGGTAGCGGCGATATCGGTTGTGGCAGCGGCAGTGACGTCGCCACCAGCGAGGTCGTGGCTTCGGAGCGGCGGCGGCGGTAGGGACGCCGTGTCGGCAGCCGCACCGGCGGCAACTGAAGGTGGCGGCGGCAGCGGAAGGTGACGGCGCAGCGCCGCCAGCCCCAGCAGCGCCGCATCGCCCACCGGCAATGCTCCGAGCCGCTGAGGCTGCGCTTGCAGCAGCAGCTGCTGCCCCCCGGCCGTGTTGTCCTGGGCTGCTGTGTGAGGTTGCAGCCCGCCCGAGCTATTCCCAAGCACAGCACCACCGCCACCGCCGCCTCCGCCAACGTCATGGTGCGCCCGTTTCCGTGCCGCCCTGCACCCACCTGCCGTACTGCCGCTAGCGCCGTCGCCACCACTGTCGTCCGGTCCACCGTCGCCGCTGGGGCTAGGGCTACGGCGCCGCCGACACGCCCTACCGGCTGCGGCCGTCGCGGTCCGTACGCGGCCCTGACTGCTGCCAACCTCACCTACGCCACCACCACCACCACCGGCCGCCGCCGCCGCCGCTGCTGCTGGTAAACCGGACAGATCCACGTGGCCGCTTGCGGCGGCATCGCCGCCGCCGTCGTACAGCTGGACGTCTCCCCCGTCCTCCGTACCCGGCTCCGTCGTGATGTTCTCAATCACCGCCGCCGGCACCACCCTGGAGGGGCTCTTGGGCCCCGGCGGGTTCCGCGCGTAGGAGTTCAGGCAGCGCTTGGTACGCGTGGTGGCGATCTTGGAGTCCAGGATGCGATGAATGTGCTCCCGGACGTTCTGGCGCACAGAGTTGGAAGTGGCGGTGAGTGGCGGCAGGGCTAGTCTTTTTAACTTCTCGCCCTCCGAGAATCCCCCACCCCCAGGAACGCACACGTCCACGGCCTCACAAAAGAGCAGGACACGCACAGACAGACAGACAGACAGACAGAAAGACACTGTAGCCAACCGTGTGCCCGCAGGCAGGCGTACGGTAGCACGGCACAGCAGCATGGCCGTACAACTGGCCGTACCTGCAAGTCGTACGAGTTGAGCAGCTGCGGCAGGTTGAGCTGCACACCCGAGGAGCTGCCTCGAAACGTCACCACCGCCTGGTCCCAAGCTGCAGCCGCCTCGCGCTCCGTGTCGTACATCCCAAGCTGGTGTACGGCACCGCGGTAGCAGAACTGCGCTCGCCAGCGGCCGCCGGGGGTGCGGTAAACGCCTGTGTACCTGGACGAGCGCATTGCGAACCCCAGACGACCGTCTGACTGCAGCCGCCGTGGCTTCATTTTCCGTAGGTTGCCGGCGCCCGGCGGCCGCCCATGGCCGCTACGGCGGCGCCTTGCCGCCGCCGCCGCCGCCGCGGCTCCTTCCGCAGTAGCTGTGTCGTCGTCGCCGTCGCCAGTGTACCCGTGAGCTGGGTCATCCGATGTTAACCCGCCTTCCCCGTCGTCGCTGTCGACGGCAGACCCGCCGCTGCCGCCGCCGCCCCCGCCGCGTGCAGCGCGGCGCGCAGCGGCAAACACACTTGCAGTAGCTCCGCCAGCGCCGCCGCCACCGCGCCGCGCTCCCCGTGCGCGGCGCCGCGCCTCCCTCCCCAGATTGTAATCCTCATCACTGTCGTCCTCGTCGCCTTCGCCGCCGCCGCCACCGTCGCTGCCGGCCGCTGCTGCCGCCGGGTGACGCCAGCGCCGTGACCGTTGCCGTACACCGCGTGCCGCTGCCACCTCCTCTAGCTCTTCTCCATCCTCCTCCCCCACGTCCTCCTCTTCCCCTCCCTGTACCATACCCTCATCCTCCTCCGCACCCGCGGTCGCCGCGGAACGCATGGAGCCGAATGGAGCCTCTTCGCTCGTCGCCCACTGGACCTTCCGGGTGCCGCCGCCGCCGCCGCTGCCCGTGCTTCGCCGCGCACTTCGGCCGGCACCGATGGCGGCGACGGCGGCGGCGGAAAGTGGTTGGCTGCCCGCGACGACAGGAGCCCGAGAGTGACCCAAGCCCAGCCCCTGGGCCGTCGCCACGGCACCTGCGTGCGTCTCCATCTCCTCACCGTCGCCACCAATCTCCGCATCGGCGGCGGATGCAGCCGCGGCGGCCTCCGTCGCCTCGAGTATGACTGCGAGGAAGGCGCCGCCAGGCGCCGCCGCAGCGCGGGCCAGGCGCGTCTTTGGACGCCTAGCACCCGGCGGCAGCGCCAGCTGCGGCTCGTCTTCCCTTCCGTCCGCAACGCCGGTCGCCGCCGCTTCCAAGCCCACCAGGCTTGCGCCGCTGCCGCCTTGCCCCGATGCCCGCCGCCGTACCTTCTCCGCGCCGACTGCCGCCAGGTGCAGCAGCCGCTGTCGATCCAACGTACCGGCCGCCGCCGCGGCAGCCCGCGGCGGCAGCGGCAGTGCTGGTGACGTAGCCAGCCAAGGCAAGCGGGCTGAAGCCGGTATGGTGGCTGCAGGGCCCCGTACCTCCCCTGCACTCGTCACTGCAGCTCTAGGCCCTTGCCCCGCTGCGCTGGTGAGCCCGGCTGCCCCCGACTGCGGCTGCGGCGGCTCCCGCTTGACGGGCACAGGGTCCGGCAGCTCAAACATGCGACGAGCTGGTACCGTGTGCGGGCGGCCTGACGTCGTCGTGTCGGCATCAGCCGTAGCCGTTGGGCCTATCCCAGCGGCGGCGCCGGCGGCGCCGCCACCGTCGGATGAGCGGCGGCTGCCCCCGCCACCGCCAGCCGTCGTAACGCTCGCACCCGAGGTCCCCGACGCGCGTCTCTCCCGGTGCGGGCTGGGCGGCGGACTCGCGGCCAGCAGCTGCAACGCATCCACCACCACTAGATCGGCACTGGCGAACGACTGTAGCCGCGTCACCTCCAATCCTGGCAGGGATCTCGGCGCCTTCTTCGCCACCTCAACCTCCGCCTCTGCGTCCGCATCCGCCGCACCAACCGCGGAGTTATCCTTGTTGCCGTCACCGCTGGCGCCATCGCGGGTTGCAGCCCCCGCGGCTGTGTTGCCGCGGCGACAGTTCGCGGCCGCTGGCGCCGCCAACACGCCGCCTCCGTCGTCTGCCTCCGTCTGTGGCGGAGGACCTGGCCGTGAATCCGCCTCCGCTGCCGAAAACGCTGGCGCTCCAGCAAAGGCCGTAAAATCCGGTCGGACCTGCTGGACAACCAGAGGGTGTGCCGCTGCCGCTGCCGCTGTCGTCGCCGCCGCTGCTGACGGAAGTGCCGACGGCACCAGCGGAGTTAGACACCGTGTGGGCGGGGCGCGCACAGCGGCCTCCGGACCGACGCAGCTCGTCGTGCCGCCTGGCTGCTGCGGCTGTTGCTGTTTCTGTACTGCAGGTTCCTGGGTCGCGGAGGCTCCCCTGACAGACGCCGCCGCCTCCGTCTTCACAGCGCTCTTGGTCGGCCTCGATGAGCCCTTGACAAGTGCTGGGGGAACTGCCGCCGCCGCCGCCGTCATGCCAGCGTTACCTGCAGTACTTCTACCGCTGATGGCGGCATTGACTGCGGCGACGGTGGCGGCAGGCTGTTGCTGCTGTTGCTGTTGTTGCTGCTGCAGCTGCTGCGCTGCCGCCGCCGTCGCCGCGGCTTGCAACGGCAGCGCAAACGGCGCCAACGCCGGTAACATCATGGCCGGGTTGAACAGCGCGGGGAACTGCGCCGCCGCGGCCGCGGCAGCCGCCGCCGCCGCCGCCGGGTTCAGAGGCCCGCCAGGCGTCGGCATTGCCGCAGGCGTAAGGCCCATCTGCCCTGGCGGCCAGATCATCCCCGGCACCATCCCCATCCCCATCATGCCCGGTGGCATCACCAAACCAAACGGAGCCTGCCACATGTGCTGCATGAGGCTGAGAGCGGCGGCTGCCTGGTGGTGCTGCTGCAGCTGTGCTAGCTGCTGCTGCTGCTGCTGCTGCTGATCAGACTGCAGCGCCTGATGATGTTGTTGATGCTCAGCAGTAGCTGCGACAGCTTGACCCATCTGACTAAATGCCATAAGCTGGAGCGCTGCCGGGCTAAACGGAGGGATCCCGAGGGACGGGGGAAAAAGCAGCGGCTGCGGCTGAGGTGCAGCCGCCGCCGCCGCCACCGGTTGTGGCAGGTGTTGCGGCTGCAGCTGCGGGTGCGGGGGCTCCTGTGCCGCTTCCGCGGGCAGCGAAAAGCCGCCGGATGCGGGCTCTGTGGGCGGTGTCAGCCCCCCGACACCGGGCAGAACCAAGGACGCTAAGAACCGATCTGCAATGGCCCCCCCAGAGGTGCTGCCGCCAGCCAGCTGCTGCTGCTGCTGCTGCTGCTGCAAGGACACGGGGATGGCTGCAATGGCTTTGTGTGCTGAGCTCTTGACAGCCGGACTTGCGCTGGCAGATTCACCCGGCGGCAGTAGCACCACCTGCTGCTGCTGCTGCTGCTGTGGAAAAGAGCTCACCCCGGGGTCCGAGGCCCGCCCAGACAGGATGGGCGCCCCAGCCGGCGGCCCGACGCAATCGGTGGGTACCAATCCGCCGCCGCCACCGCCGCCAGCGTCGGGTCCCCCGCCGCCACCGCTCGCTCGGGCCTGGGAACCGTACGTGCACGGCAGCGCCGTCGTCGTCCCCGTCCCCTGCTGCAACAGGTTGCAACCTATTGTAAAGGTGGTGGCGGTGCCGCCGCCCCCACTGCCGCTGGCGCCGACGGCATCGGCCCTTCCCCCCGGGTAAGGCCCCATGTGTCCCGATGACACCACGCCGGCCCACGGAGCCGTATCCGCGGTCGTGTTGACCGCGGCGGTCGGCGCCCAAAGTACCTGGCCTTCGCCGGCCGTTTCGTTGGACCCACCATCCGCTTGCTGCGGCGGCAGTTGCTGCATCGTGCTGTGCGCGGCGTTCATGCCCTTCATACCGTCGACGCCGGCGCTCAATCCAACAGCAACGGCGGCACGTGCACTTGCGGCGGGGGCGCCGTCGGCGCTGCCGCTATGGGCGGGGCCAGCGGCGGCGGCGGACGGGACGCCCTCCACTGCCGGCGCTATCGGCAGAACTGATGACCCGCCAGCTAAGCCGCATTGCGGGACATAAGGCCCGGGTCGACCGCTGGTGCTTGCATCGCAGATGGCGCTGCTTGGCGACTGGAGAAGCGGCTGCTGCTGCGGCTGCGGATGTGGCGGCGGAGGCGGCACCGGGTGCTGTTCCTTGCGCGCCGCTAACGCGCAGTGCAAATCTATCGCCGCCGCCACGGGCTTTATCCGGCGCAGCGACAAGCCCCCGGAATGCTGAGGCGGTGCGGGGTTAGGGTGCTGCTGTTGTGGCGGCATCGCCACACCCGCCGCCACCACCGCCGCACCGCCGCCAGCTGCGGCCGGTTGTCCAGTGGCGTGGTGGCTGTCAATACCAACTCTGCCGCCGCTACCGCCACCGCCGCTGGCGCCCGACGGAACTGGCGCGAGCCCGCATACATCGCTAGCTACCGCCGGCAAGCAGAGTGCGGGGAGCGAAGCGCATGTTGGCGCTGTCAGCTCGGCCGGGGCTGAGCTGCCTTGCACCGTCGCCGTCGCCGCCGCTGTCGGCCCCGTAGCAGCAGCAGCACCAGCGGCCGGCGCCGCCAGCTGTAGCACTCCGCCGGAACCCAGCGGTGGCTGCGGCAGCAGCGGGAGGGCAGCACCTGATGCAGACGCGCCGCGGCCGCCGCCGGCAGCCGGCGGCGACAACCCCAGCGATGGCTGCCCGTCAACGATCACGCAGCTGACGCCGCGCACCCCCGGAACAGCTGCCAGCGTCTCAGGCTGGGGCTGGGGCTGGGGCACAGCTGAGGTGGCGGTCATCGGAGCCGATGTGGCGGGCGAGTGCAGGGGCAGAGTGCCTGGGGAGGTGAACTGCCCCGGTGGCAGCTCCAGGGAAACCTGCGGGCCGTAGGTTTGGCGGGAGACACACACACACACACACACATGTGTTTGTGTATTTTTTTGAAGTCCATCCCTTGGACATCTTGCGAGGTGTGGTGAAGACGGGGTTATTGGAAGGGGGCCTCTCCCCTCCTACCCCACTTCACACACACACACACACACACACACACACACACACACACACACACACACACACACACACACACACACACACACAGGCACGCGGGCAATATGCCGCGGTAACAATGCCGCTCTCTTGCCCGGCTAGCATGGCGTCCAATTCCGAAAACCGTACGCATGTGTATCCATAAAACCTATAATGAATAAAGACATACACAGAAGTCGAACGGGAGGCGGGGCCGCCGGTTGGAGAGGGACTGTTCGGGTGTATGTATGTCCGTGGTGGCGGCAGTAGCCGCGGCATTAAGGGTGTGTGCAATGCAATGCAATGCCGCACCTGCAGGCTGCTGCTGTTGCTGCTGGCGAAGGGGTGCGGAAGGACGCGGCTGTCGGCCCACCCGGATTGGAGTGTGGTGGATCCAGAACCTGGAGCATAGGCGGGAAAAGAAGGTGTGCCTCAAAACGGGGAAGGATGCAAGAGTCACAAGGGACGGATGCTCGGTGATTGTGCAATATACGACAGTAGCGGCCAGAGGGCCGACAGGGCGCGAAACCCTTGTCAACGAGTTCAGCACCCCTGTGGCTTCTTCCCCGCTCAGCCATGAAGACATTACGCCCCCATGTTGTGAACAGCTTTCACTTCCCTGGCTTGGGCGTAACTCCGGCGAGTTGCCGTCTACCTAGTTATCCCGCGCGTTTCTTGTTATGCCGCTGGATTCGAAAACAAACCTTGAGAGAAATAAGGTGCATTCCGGTCTATTGAAGGCTCCACAGGAAAGACTGAGAAGGGGCGTTGACTGACCGAAGACGAAACAACCGCTAAGCTCCCGCCAAGCTCTGCAGGCCGTGGTTGCTGCTCCCAGACGTAGGGCGAGGCATTGCCAAGTAGATGTTGCTGCGACTGCATTTGCGTAGCCAGTTGTTGGAGCATGCTTGCATGGTCCCGGGTCGGCAGCGACGCTATAGCAGAGGTTACTGTTCCTTCATGTCGCTGTCCTGAAGCGTGAGTCACCGTGCGCCCGTCGGAGGGAGTCCGCAGAGAGGTCTTGGATGTTGCCCGCTTGCACGGACACTGGTCGACACCAGCCCGATTTAGCTCTGAACGCCTCGCTTTACTCCTGTCCTTTGGTTCGCGCGCAGTTTCCGTAGGCCCAATGCCCTTTGTATAAATTCCGAAGCTATTTGCTCCGACTAGATGCGCACGTTGCGGTGACGCATTCCTAAATTTCTTTGCAGTCGAAGGCTTATTATTACAGTTGTTTACCTCCTCTCGTGGACTATCATAAGGACTTCCGCGGTCTTGAGCAGCCCCAAGTTTGCAAGCTGCAAGCAGAAAGGCATGGACGTAATGCAAAAGCCCCGTACATGGCTATGAGATAAAGTAGAAAACGCAATTATCATCAAAACCATTAGCAGGATACCGTTGCCTTAGGGGCGACGGCCCGGGGAGGCAACCGAAAAGCTTTAAAGTGACAACTGTAGTTACTTTGCCGGGAAGTCCCAGGTTCTGCACAGCATGCCATGGCGCATTACGTTGATATAAAAAATACAACCCAGTCCATTAACAGTCAGCAAGCGGGGGTTAGTGAACATGGGTTCCGAACTCGCCAGGCACAGTGTGCAGCTGCCTACCAGCGCAACTCTTGGGCCTTGTTTTTGCAGGTCCTCCATGAGATTCGTCGCTGATGGAAGCTTCCGGTGAGCAGCGCGCCTCGGCATCGAGGCCAGCCGGCGGCTCAGTCATATTCAGTCGGCGCGGTCCGTGGGTCACTTTTGGGTGTTCAGGACTGACTATCGGTGTGGACAAATGGAAAGTGAGTTTAGGTTGGTCTGCAGTAATTAAAAAATGCAAGCGAGTGACGCGGATTTATTTGCAGACGCTAACAGTGCTGCGCGCTTTCGAAATAGGACCTTCCACCTCTATTGTATTTTACATCCAGGCCTGTAGAGTATTGTAAAGTACTATCTCCGGTGTATGCCCGCAAGCATAAAATCATTTCCTAAATGGCGTCCAAGGTTCCGGATGGCGGTTTTGCATGGCAGCTTTGCTTGCACATACAAATTTACTCCTCCTAATGAACCTATTCAGCTCCCATACCCAGACTTCTGCTTCAGTACGCTCATCACGTCATCTTGAGCAGACCTCGAATGTTTCGGGCTCTGTGAACGAAGGCGATTTACGGACAAGGGGTATCTCGCAAGCTGAGGGACGAGGACTAACGATAGCCACTTTGTATACTTTAAACAATTGAAATTCAGGGGAAAGGCCAAGGTATGCAGTTTGCGTCATGTAACGCAGAGCCTCTTTCGGCCTCGCCAGCATGGGTACCAGTAGTCCGGTGACGCGCAGTTGCGCGCTCATCCCTCTCCCTCTCCTGCTTCCCGGCTTGCTGCCATCACGTACGTGCACGCTTGGCCTTGTGCCCTGCATCGGGTCAGTCGCACGAGCGCTATATGAATGATCATACAAAAATGTATAGCAGGCGGGAAGGGACAAGACGCGTCACAGGGCCGTCTGGGATGTTCTCACCACATCGTCTTCTAATTTTTGAAGTCTTCTTGCAATCGAATCGCCGGTGGTAAAGTTACATTTTGGAGGCCGCGCAGCGTCACTCTCTCCACAATTACCTGATCACCGGCGTCCGCTTTCACCACATGCACTGAAGGCCCTATTTATTTGGCCATGCCATTTGCACCTCAACCGCACTTGTGTCAATGTCAGGCCGGTGCTGCGTGAAACGGTTGCGCGCGGGGTACAACCGGGGTGGACCCCCCGACACTGACCGCCATGCCGGGGCCTCGACATTCCCACCACACCTGGCTGACAAGAGACTTGGATGGTGGCTAAGTGCGTGCAACTAGAAAGGCCCTATAGCTTGATAAAGCAGGTGTTATGCTGACCGCCAAATAACGGGAATGGTTACTGGCCCGTGCGAAACACATAAAAACGCCTCTTTACACACCCCCCTCCCCGCCATTTTGTTTACAACTCATCCCACCTTCCGCATCATCCACATCGCCGCCGTCGTTGCGGGATCCATCGCCGTGTACAGCTCCTGGCGCCCCAGCCTCCCATACCCCAGCAGCCGCTGGCCCAATGCCGCTGGGCCCGCACCGAATCTCCTCGTCCTCACGCACCACTCCCCCGCCAGCTTCACCTTTTCCCTCCCTACCGGCTGGACCTGCAACAACCGCCACCGCCGCGTCCTCCGCTGCGTGCAGCTGTCGCCTGCTCTCCTCGGGCTGGTCACCACTGGGCAGCACCTGCTGCTGCTGCTGCTTTCCACCGGTTGTGCCGTCACCTCCGTTACCTGCTGGCCCCTTCCGGGCGGCCAGCGTGTTGGCACCGCCATACTCTGAGATGCCGCTTACCTCCGGTCCACCCACCCCTCCCAGATTCGTGAGGGGCCCGTCACCCTGCCCCTGCCCCTGTCCTTGCTGCTGCTGCTTCTGCGTTTTTTTTTGCTGTTGTTGCTCGTTCTGCTTCTGGGTTTGTCGCATCGGGTTTTGTTTTTGTTTTTGTTGTTGCTGCTGCTGCTGCTTTGTTTGACCTTTCCGCTGCTGCTGTTGTTGAGGCTTCTGCTGGTGAGGCTGGTCCTGACCCTGTTCCGTGTCTGCGCGCCCAGGGCCCTCCTGCTGCTGCGGCTGTTGTCCCAGCAACTCTGCTGTGCCCCGCTCCTGCAGCCTCTTCAGTGCCGCCTGCTGCACCACCTGGTGCTGGTACACAAAATACCACAGCAGGTTGTCGAACGTGTGTGGCGCAGTGAACCGTGGGTCGCTCAGTTTGCCCTGCAGCACGAGCAGCAGCAACCAGCACCACCCGGTGACCCGGTGACTCCCGCTGTCTGACACCGACACGGTGATTGATCTTCTCATGTGCGATATGGCCCCCCCTAATGCCCACCACCCCATGGCGGGCTACGTGCAGCAAGGAAGCTGGGCGCGCCTGGGAAAGCGGAGTAGCGATGGCAAGTGGGAGGAGGGGGAGGAGGGGGAGGGCTCCCAACAAGGCAAACACACACACGTCATATCATGCGATCTCATCTCCAGCACTTCTACCCCCCCGCTCAGTTCATTGCAACACAGTACACATGCAACCTCCTCGGAAAAGGAAAAGGAATACCACGTGTTGGGATACGTGTTGATGTACCTGAAGCTCTGAGTGAGGGCCACCTAGGGACGCAAGCTGCACACACGAAAATGATCAAGCTAATAGTAATATTCCTTCCACGAAACTGGCAGCGTCCCCAATTCCCCCGCGCCCCCCTTTCCCCCACCCCCAGTTTAGTTTACTTCAATTTACTTCAGCCTTGCGAACCCAAGATTCCCCCCGCGCTTGCGCGGTCACTGTGGGCGGGTCCGCAGGTCCCGGTCCACCCAATCCCACCCAATCCCACCCTTCCACCCAATCCCACCCAGACCCCCAATCCCACCCTTCCACCCAATCCCACCCTTCCACCCAATCCCACCTTTCCACCCAATCCCACCCTTCCACCCAATCCCACCCTTCCACCCAATCCCACCCTTCCACCCAATCCCACCTTTCCACCCAATCCCACCTTTCCACCCAATCCCACCCTTCCACCCAATCCCACCTTTCCACCCAATCCCACCCAGACCCCCAATCCCACCCTTCCACCCAATCCCACCCAGACCCCCAAGCTCAGGCCCACATGTTTCACCAGCGCCTCCAGGAAGAAGTAGAGGGCCTCCACAGTGCACACCCCCTCGTCAGACACGCCCCTGGTGTGGAAGCGCCAGAAGGCGGACCGGGTGTGGCTCAGTCGTACCGCGCACATGGAGCGGAACGTCTCGGTGCGCATGAGGGCCCCCGCCTTCTTCCTGGAGAGAGTGCGAGGGCGGGGGAGTGAGGGAGTGGGGTAAGCAGGCGGGACGCAACTCCAAACACAACACACGGATGCACGGGGGACGGGACGGGACATGTGAACGTACGTACGTATGTATGATGTGTGAAACAGGGGGGTGTATCTTCGCCCGTGGCAGCTACCCTGCGAAACCCTGCCTTCCCCGGTATTTCGGGGCACCCTCATCCAGTCACCCTATTCAACTTCTCAGTGAATCGCTCAGGTTCCGCACCCACCACCAGCATCCAATGGAATCTGCCGGGTCGACAGCGGCCCAACTCCGTTCCTGGTCGGCTCGCGGGTTAACTTTATCCCAGGTCACCACCGTCCATCAACTAGGGGCGCAATGCCTTCCACCATCGGAAGGACTTTTGACCCTAACGGGTATCGATCCCGGGATCTCCCGGGGGCAATGGTCGCGCCTTAGCAGTGGTGCCAAGCCCTTATATATATGTATGCATGTATGTATGACTTAGATTACACTGTGGGTCGTATGTATGTATGTATGTATGTATGTATGTATGTATGTATGTATGTATGTATGTATGTATGTATGTATGTATGTATGTATGCATGTATGTATGTATGTATGTATGTATGCATGTATGTATGTATGTATGTATGTATGTATGTATGTATGTATGTATGTATGTATGTATGTATGTATGTATGTATGTATGTATGTATGTATGTATGTATGTATGTATGTATGACGTTGATTACACTGTGGGCTGAAAAGCCGGGGGCCCAGGACCGAAGCACAGCGCGGGGGGCGGGTGCATACGGCTGGTTAGTCTCATGCACTCCGCCCCCGGGTCAGGCCGCACGGGAAACGACGGCCGGCACGCAACAGCGCTTGTTTGGCGCTCCAACTAGACGGGATCTATGCCCGTTGGTCTCCTAACATAAACGAAGTCGCAACTGGGGGGCTCTTCCTGCCGACCGAACGAACCGAGCATCTCAGAGAGCTCGCTACCAGGACTTGGGCGACCGGGAGCCCGACGAGTCTTCCCGGGCTGGGGAGGTCACCAAGCTCAAAAATCCTCACGCAAAAAAGAGCGCAAAGAGCTCACACCACAAGACGCCAAACAGCCTCCTGAGACTACTACCCTCCTCCGCCTCTCCCTCCCTGGGCTAGTCCAGGGGAGATAGCCCCCGTCGAGGGGGTAACACCGCACAAGTCCGCGCCCTTCCACGCGGGTATCGATCCCGGGATCTCCCGGGGGCAATGGTCGCGCCTTAGCAGTGGTGCCAAGCCCTTATATATATGTATGCATGTATGTATGACTTAGATTACACTGTGGGTCGTATGTATGTATGTATGTATGTATGTATGTATGTATGTATGTATGTATGTATGTATGTATGTATGTATGTATGTATGTATGTTGTTACAGGGTGGTTAACTTCGCCAGCGGCCCCCTTTCCCGGGGCAGTCCCTGCTCTCCCCTGCTAGAGGGGCACCCTAATCCGTCACCCCATCCGACTTCAGAATGTATTCGTTGGGTTCGGCAACTCACCACCAGCATCCAACCAAATCTAGCGGATCAACGGCGCATCAACTTAGTTCCTGGTCAGCTCGCAAGTTGATATTATCACGTCCTACACCGTCCATAAGATGGGGGGCCACCTCCCATTTCATCACTCCTCAAACACCCGAGGAGCCGGCAGGCGGATTTGAACCCGGGTCGACTGGGTCGACTGGGAGCAGAAGTCAGGCCTTAACCTCTGCCAGCCGCCTGCATAAATATGTATGTATCATGGTATCATGAGTGTCTCTGTATGTCTGTGAGTACGCGTAGTTTTGCCAGACTCTTGTCTTTATAAAAGGGGATGAAAGGGTTACATCAACTGACAACAAGCAAGGGTGAAGTGGTATGTTTCTCTTATTTGTGTACATCAGAGGAGTATGATTGTATGTATGTCGGTGTCTTCCCAGCGTCCGCTTGGCGAGCTGCTTAGCGCTGGAGCGGCAGCGGCAGGTGAGGTGAGGTGACCCGTCTGTGTGTTCGTGTCCCGCAATGACACGACGACCAACTCGCATTTTTCTCTTCGAACGATTCAGCACCAACACTTACCACGCGGCAACACTGTACCGCACCCTGTACAACCTTCCCCTTCCCTCCCTCCAACCCCCCACATATCACCCCAGTGGGCCTTTCGTGTTTCACATTTTCGTGTTTCACATTTGGGTTTATTAACCCCCCCGCTCCCCCCTTCCCCCTCTGCCCCAGGAAGACAGTTGCTGCCTTGGGCGTATCGACAGTTGACACCCCCCCTTCCTTCATGGCGTGATTCTTTCCTCCACCTCCCCCCTCCTCCCACCATCTGGAGTCGATGATGAACAGCCGGTCAATGGAATCAGGTTCCAGCTGCTCCACCTCCAGCGCCGTGTCACTGGGGAACAGCACCACGCAGCGGGAGGGGTCCACATCGTCCGGCACCTGGCTCATACTGGGACAGAGGGAAGGGGAGGGAAGGAGAGGGGAGAGGGAGGGAGGGGGAGGGAGAGGGAGGGGGAGGAGGGGAGGGCGGAGGGAAGAGGGAGGGGGGAAAATAACGAAAGCACCTTATTCAATAAAACCTGACACACACACACACTCACACCCTCCCGGCCTCTCCAGCGACCCCTCATCCATTCCCAGTCACTATTTCTCTCTCTCCCGTCTCGTCTCCCCTCTCTCCCCCCCTCTCCCCCCCACCTGTGCAGGTCCACCTGCCCGGGCGCCAGCAGCGCCACCTGCACCCCGGTGTTCTTGGAGGGCTTCTCTTCGTGGTGGGTGACAATGGACACGCGGAACGGCAGCTCCACGATCGGGAAGGGGACCAGGGGCTGCAGGCAGTCTGGGGGGCCGGGGGGAGGGGGGAAGAGGGGGTGTATGGGGGGAGAGGTGAGATAGCAGAGGGGGAAAACAATCATGTTGTTGTTCATGTTGTTGTTTGTAAAGTTGTGAAGCCAGGCAAAAGCCGCAAGGGCAGCTTCAATAGGGAGGCGGTTGCGCGGGTGGGAGCGCGGGGTTGAGGGCGAGGTGCGAGGGCGGGAGCGGGGAGTCGGGAGGGGAAAGACGAACCACGAACGTGTGAAGCTGCTGCCAAGGAAGAGTGTACAAGAAGCAGAACTGACCAGTAGGCGTTCTTGAAGGCGGCGACTTCGGGATGATGTAATGATGATGACCGTGGAAACCTACCTACCTAGCCGCCATGACTTAAGTAAGAGCGGAAGAAAAGTAAAGTAGAACGAAGCCGTAAAGAAGTAACGATCGAAGAAGGAGTCGGGGGGAGGACGGAGGGCACAGCAGGGCGTAGGAGACAGCAGGTTTCATTAATAGAGAGAAACAAGGGGAGGAACTGTCTTACACCTTGGGAACCTTGCGGCAAAATAGTTCACCAACAGAACATGTACGGCACCCCCAGCACCAGTACTGCCACTGCCATACACAGAACACCGACTACGGGCCCCAAGAGCCCAGAGCCGTCTGCCCGCCGTACGGCACCCACCATAGCAGTAATGGGCTCGGGAGCGGCCGCTGTGGGTGCGGAGGTCATCGGAGGGAGCCCGGGTGGCGGGGAGGAGCCGGGGGGGAAGGGGTGAGGGGGGTTTGAGCAGGATAGCGGTGGGGAGGGTATTGTTGGAAAGGTGATACTGGGTGGTACAGGGGCTGGTCATAAGGGGTCGGGAGGCGGGAGGGAGGGAGGGCGTGGACTGCGATGCTTGGAGGTGGTGGTGGTGACAGTGAAAATGATGCGCCAGTGGTGATGATGGTGGTGCTGTGTTTAGAAGGCAGCAGAGGCAGCCGCAGCAGCCGCAGCAGCAGTAGCAGGGCAGCATGGGGAGTCGGGAGGGCCGGGCTCGGGACAGGACAGACAAACGTAGGTTGGTACATGCGATCAACTTGCAGGCGGTTTATGGCGTATGAGGGGGCGAGCGCACAACTGGGATCACCAAGCCGGCGTACACTTGCACCAGGAGTGATCGTTCCCCAATCCAAGTACGGGGTGCCGGGCCGCCCTAAATGGCGGAGAATGAGTTGGGAGTTTGCGGTCGCTTCTGCTAGTATTGCTAAGCAATTAAAGCTTGGGTTGGTGGAATTGGGTCGTCAAATGATTTGGAGGAGTCATTCCTGACGACTTGGCCCGCGGCAACAGTACGGAGGGGCCAATATTGGCCGAGAGGGTGTTTTTTAACTTTGGACTGGACGATCTTTCAGGGGGCTCCCTCGCGCTCCTTACCATTTAGGGCACTTGATCCGATCCGTGTTATTGTGTAGGGGGTCGAGGGGTGCGAGCTGCAGGTCGCCATGAAGCTCCGGTAGCTCCCAATCCGGTCGCCGGGCCGAGAGTTTAGGAACGGAGTGCAACCCTGCCATGGAGCCCTGCTTGGTATGCTTGACTTCTCGTTTGCGATTGGTGGGTTCAGTCAGTTAACAGGCCAGGCTTTGTTGTGATGTCGGCTGTGGTACGCATAAAAGGCTGCCGCGCGACTTGTATTCTACGTTCAGGCTAAAAGACGTAATTATATATGAAAATATTGTTGTTTATGAGCTGGGCGGTTTTGAACAGCGCATAGTTTGCCAAAACGCTTCCTTCTCGAAAGATAATAGAGGGCCGGCTTCCGTTAGCCAGTTAGCGCCCGCTAGTTAGGGTAAGATTACTGGCGTTGTACCCTACTAAATGTCGGCTAACGATCGTGTGCTTTTACGGTAGCTCAATTATGCCACCTGTAGTCGTACGGCATTTCTCATTTGACTAAAATTGCCATAAAAGATAATATCTTCAAGATGTCCGCCGCAGTCGCTTCTTTACATGGATTGAATTCGCAAAGCTAACTAAAGCGGCAAGCGTAATTTTCCCTAAAGACTATTATTCTGAATTGTTAAGTAGATTTTGCAAGCTTACCACCTGAGGTCTCTCAGGTGGTAAGTTCACCGTGCACCGAAACAAATCGAAATTATGACAATTTGCTTATATCTATATCATATTTAAGCTTGCTTACTTTGCAGAATTGAGCTTGCGCGACCCTGAATACGGACTAACTGTTGAGGGCGGCAGGCGGGCCCTGTTAGCTTAAATATGGTTAACTGTCGCGTGCTTCAAGTGCACAAACTTTCAGCCTCTCAGTTCTCTTAAACGACCACGCTAACTGGCTAGTGGAAGGTTTGCTGGTTTGATTTGAGTAACTCAGCTCGGAAGGAGACGTTAACACGGCGTTTGTCATTTACACACCCGGGCCACGAAGCCAGTCGCGCAACTTGCGTCAAGTTCACCGCGGTGATTTGGATCCGGAGCGTACGGTTGGAAGTGTGGCGATGTGCGATGCACATTCCCCATCTGTGTGCCTTGCAGATCAGTAACTTTACATTGTCTCCTGTCCTTTATGTGTGGCGCGCGTTACGATATGCAAACTCTTGTGCCGGTTACTGCAGCTACGACACCCTGCCTGCTAATAGTTCTTGCTGCCGATTATGGCGTTTGGCTTAAAAATATGTCGCAATGGCACCTAGATGTTCTAGCTGCCTATAGCCCGTGAGCTTGCTGGGGGCCTACCCTAGAACCGTTAACCATGTTGACGTTTGATGGCTGCGATCCCGGGGCAAATGCATGGGTTGAAAAATACTTCCATGACTGCGTTATGGATTACCGGGATGCTATTGGCTTTGTGCTGGGACTATGCAGCATTTTGGTTTGGTTGACGGCACAGCTTCCGCAGTTTATTAGCAATGTTAAAAATCAGAGCTCTGAGGCGTTGTCAATTTGGTTCCTGGTGGAATGGTTCGCTGGCGACACGTTAAACCTGCTAGGCTGCCTGATTCAAGGCCAGCAGCTGCCAACTACAACGATTTTGGCAGCATACTTTGTGCTAATGGACGTCATCATGCTACTTCAATACATTTACTACGGCGCCTTGCAGGCCCGACGTCAGCGCCTGCGCGCCAAAACGTCCCGCCGGCGTCATGGCCATCGTCACGCCAGCGCAGAGCACTACCACAGCAGGAGCGACGCCCACCAGCAAGCCTCACCACTTCTGCAGAACGTTGGACCCAACACAACATTCAGCAACCTATTCTCCAGCCTAGGCAGCTCCTCCGCGCTGCCCACGCCAGCGGAAGGCCCCTCTGTCCACGAGGCCCCTTTGCAAGATCACCAGCTACCACAAAACCACGGACGCGCGGCGAGCCCTGGCGATGCTCCCCTTTGCTCAAACCCCTTGAGGACAATCACCATCGCCACTGCTGCTGGTTTCTCCGTCATGTGTGTGACGGCCCTCACGCTACACCCGGGGGCAACCTCCTCGCCTCCAGGCAGCACCACCGGGGGCCGCCAGCTCCTCGCCACCCAGCCGCTCTTGCACAATTACCAAGGCCCTGATGCCCTGCTCCCCCTGCTCGGCGGCGACCACGACCTCGTCCTAGACCCACATGGTCTCCACAGCAGCTCCAGCGCCCTGCGGCCGGCAGCCACAAGCGCTGGCGCGGCGCTATCCTCCGGGGCCCGAAGCCTCACCGCGGTCCTGTATCCCGCTGCAGCAGCTGCTGTCGCGTGGACCAGGTCTGATTATGATGACGACAGCGGAGGAGGAGGGGGAGGGGGAGGCGGTGTGGGCTGCAGGTTCCTGAACTGCGATGTGGCTCTGGTGGCGGGCACTGCCATGGGCTACTTGTCGACGTGCTTTTACCTGGCCTCGCGAGTCAGTCAGATCCGTAAGAACCTGGCGCGGAAGTCCACCGAGGGGCTGTCGCCCTTCATGTTCATGCTTACAATGAGGTGGGTGCAGGTGCACGTGATTGGGGGATGGGGGTGGGGGGGAGTAAGACGAACCACTGGCGAATGAAGCGGATACCAGAGATAGACCATAGATATAGTCCAGGATTAGACGACAGATACTGCATCAGGTATATACTGGGTAGGTGGATGTGGTTCATGTGTGCGGGCGGGTGGGTGTGCTAACCTTACCCGAGGCCGAGGCGAGTGTGGGTAGATGCGTGGGAGGTAGGTGGGGGGTAATCCCCTGGCACGTTTACCAGGGCAACGTGGCAGGACGCCCCCTCCTCCTCCTCCTCCTCCTCCTCACCCTCCGTCCCCCTATCTGTTTCACTCGCCTGCGATTCGTCTTAGCCCTCGTCCCCCTCCGCGCCCCCCTCCTCCACATCAAATCACTGTGTACCTTTTACCTCGCATCCCGCACCTCGCACTTTCGGCTCCTCCTCCGCAGCGCCAACCTGTGTACGGGAATCAGTATCGTACTGCGGCTACGTTCCCTGGAGCAGCTCAAGGAGCAGCTGCCCTGGATGTGCGGCACCTTTGGCACCATTGCTCTCGACATGACGCTGTTTTACCAGGCTATGACGCTAGGGCAGGGGGAGCACGGTCACCAACAGCACCACCACCACCACCACCAGCACGGGCAGGGACATGGTTATGGAGGTGCCAACACCCACGCCCACGGCGGCCGGCCTGGTGAGGTCAACAAGGAGGGCTGCAGTCGGAAGCTAGGGGATTTGGAGGCGCCGCTGCTGACGGCGGCAGTGGCGGACGTCGAGGATGCGCATGGCGGCAGCGACCGTGTGGCCGAGGGTAACCGGTAGTTGCGGTGGATGAGGAGGAGATGATGACCTGTGCGGCCGCTGTGAGCAGACAGGCAGAGGGACTGTGCCGCCGGACTGTTTGTTTGTGTGTGGGGGGGCTTTGGAGGTCCTGGCCCGGACACAGAGATGCGGGAGGAAGGCCGGCCCGGTGTAACCTCTGCCGCCGAGTCCTGGCCCGATGTGGTATGGCTTGGGGCGGGGTCCTGGTTTCCGCGCTGTGGTGTAATGCAGCAGTTCCCGGCCTAGAGCCAGGGCCAGGGCCAGGGCCAACACGTCAGGCTTGGCGCCAGGACGGTCCCTGGGTGACCAGACTGCTCTGTAGGCCTTTTGGTTAGGGTTTCGTATTAGGCAGCCTCGTACGGCACCCCGATAGTTTAGAGAGGAGGGTGCATGCAAGAGGGGTGAGGGAGATGCACTGTCGGCGCTTGGCGGGTGCGGGCGGCGGGCAGTGCCCATCCTTACCTGAATGATGCATGGTAATAGGTAGTTAGATGTAGACATGGCTATGTGGAGCTTCCGCCTCCTGGGGGATTGTTTGTGACGGTTGCCAACGCAGCGCCGCGTAACGCTGAGGGCTGTGTCCTCTTGGAACTCGGCTGTGGTGGTGATGGAGGTGGAACGGGTCTGCGAACTTGCGCTTGCACCTGGCCTCCATGGCCCATACCGTGTCTGGCTTGAACAACCAGACAAACATACATGCAGACAGACAGACATGCAGAAACCGAGGTAAGGCAGCTTTAGCTACGAGCCTGTATGGCTGCGGAGGTAGCAACGGCACGACAACGACACTGTTGTCTGTGTTGGGGGCTGCAGGAGCAGCACACACATAGACAGCAGCATAAGGGGAGGCAGAGGGCGAGGTGGCAGGTCGTTGCTCGTCCCGAGTATATAAAACAAATAATGCGGACGTGTGACGGGCGCAGTGAAACGGGTTGTTGGTGGGGATGTGCCTAGAGTGCGGCTCACGGGCGTATGCATGTGTGTGTGTGGGGGGGGAGGGGCCGCGCAAAGGCGTGTGAGTTCTTTTGCTTCGAGCCCACTTGGCAAGCCTGCGTGCGTGGTGATGTGACGATGGTGGGTGCGGTGGTGTCGGCTTTAAGAGCCAACAGTGGTGTGGACTGGCGGGGCGAAGTCTGTGCGGTCACCGGCGAACGCCGTGCGCAAGGTGAGCTACGCCCGGGGGTGGTGGTACCACTGCCGCGAGCGACCACTACTGCCAGTGGTGCTGCTGCCAGTTGCCGTGGCTCGCTGGCTGGGCAATCATAATATGCGCCTTGCATGTTTTCCTTATCTACTGTGCAGTCGCAAAAATCCATATACGAGTAAAATAAATATATTTCATATGGCGGCATGTTAGGCGGCATGGCAGTAGCAACAGCAGTAGCAGGCTTTTGGCACCTGGTTTGTCTGTATGTGTGTGGGAGCTTATCTTTTTTAAAAAGAGTCGCGCCATAAGGGTGGCTGGCTGGTAAAAGGCGGATCCGGGAATGCTTATTAGGATTCTGCCGGAGGCTTTGCTTAAGAGTTGTGAGTTTCGGAGCAGGGTTTCTGGAGCGTTTTGCCACTGGCTCAAAGGGGGATGCTGCTGCCCACGCTGGGGGAGCAGTAGACTTGCTACTCTGCCGCTTTGCCATCTCTCTGTCTGGATGCAGGCAGCAGCTGACGTGTTGGTATGTGCCGTCGTCGTCCAGATGGCTGCAAGTGGTCATTTATTGCCTCAGGGTTACCCCAATCCCCGCTGTTGTGTGGGGAAGGAGGAGACTCCCCGGGGGGAATCATTAAAACGTATGGGGTCCTGTACGGGCCGCGATTCCCCCCTGTTGGCACGGCGGTTAGCAGCGGGCGCTTTTGGATGGGCTGGGTTAGATGGGTAGGTAAGTAGCTAGGAAGGTACACCCACTCACAAACCCCTAGACACATACAGCCCTTCCGTGCAATGTTGGCCTAAGCTCTGCTCGGTCCACGTTAGGGCCTTTCCGTGTGTTCCACAACACCATGCCAGTCCTTTTGGCAGCCTCCCTGCCCTCGGGGGCACCTGATGGGCTCCACCCCTACCCTCACCCCATCTCCTGGCTGCTGCTTCCCGGACTTAGGGCGTCTCAGCGAGTACAACAGGGCCACGGTAGCAGCTTGCCAATTGAACGATGGGCCGGCCATTCCCTTGTCAGTTTCTTGGTTTTAAAACCCCTGTGCAGCAGCAGCAGCACCAGGAGCAAGAAGAGAGGCAGCGCGAAGGTCTTCGTCTCTTGTACGGGCGCAGGAAAGTTGCGAAGGTGCGAACACCGAAGGTCCGTTGACCACCTTTGGTACCAAAACTGCCCTCCCCGATATACGCCTCTATCTACAACGCCACTATCAAAATGCTGAGCCAGCAAAGAAAACGTTCAGCACCCGCACGACACCCTCGGGGCCCTGAACCCCACCCCAAAAAAAGGCATTGGAAGGTGGAGGAGGCGTATAGTCGAAGATGGTGAAAGGAAGGTGTTTGCGTGGGGGCGGTAATGGGAATGCGTGGCGGACAGCATAGGGCCCGTGGGGGAAGGGCGATGCAGAGCACTGGAGTTGTGCTATGTATCGGGGTGTGTGTCATGGTGTACGGCTGTAACGATGTGGGCTGCTCCGTGCGAGCTGCTGAAGGCGCTGAGTGGAAGGTACAGGTGTGAGCCCGGCGGAGAGCACTGAGTGTTGAGACTGCTGGCTTGTTGAGAATGCCAAATTCGGCTCGAATGCGGTCAGCAGGCTCGGTGCGCCAAGGGATACGAAATTTCGCAGCTGTAACCAACAGCAGCCACCAGTCGCTACCATCGCTGTGAAAACCATTATAAATTTAAAGGTGATACGATTCCCTCGAAGAGCTAGAGGTTTATCACGGACTGCCTTACGAAGTCGGCAGCTGCGGGACTTAACTGCATTTCTGCTTAACAGGGAAGTTCGCCTGCCGTGCTTGCCGGGGCGCGTGTGTATGTGAGGCCGCGTATAGGATAAGCCGGTTTGGTTGCCGATATGAGGGCAAGGCTGGCCAGCAAGTTACTGCAACAGTGGATGAGAGGGACTTTCTGCCTGACTTTTCACATTCACGTTGCGCCTTTTTGATCGGCCCGGGTGATGGCCCTTTCAAGCATGCGTACGAATATTCCCCACATCATCGATATGATGTGTCGCACTTCTAGATGTTGAAGGCATATGGGTTGACGAGGTGAGGCGTGCTGCAATCAGGACGTTGCGACCATCAGAGGAACAGCTCATGCAAGCGTACGACATTTCGGTGTTTGTTTCGTGGTTTGTCGTCCTTGGGTTGTACTCACACGCTTCGAACGGTGCAAGCCTGCTGTATTACGCCGTACTGCCGACCGGCTGTACATGACCCGGTAATTTAGACGTCCAATGCCGCCGTGTCCGCACGCCCTCTTCGCTTGCTTACCGCTACCTGCCCGCATGAGCCTGGCGATAGCTGCAACGGCTCGACAGGAACCGAACCTATAACTTCTATAACACGTTATTCTCCTGTTGCTGCTACTACTACAGCTACTACAGCTACTACAGCTACTACAAGAGGTGCCTGTGAAAAGGAGCGCAATTTCTAGCAAGTGTGTACGACACATGTCCTGCAGGAGTGCAAATACGTTAGGGGATGGTGGGGGGTTCTTCAGCTCAGCGGTTCGGCGCTAAGTGTAGTCGCGGGATGGGCGACCCGGGGGTTGGGTAAGCCCGCGTGAAGGAAAAGAGGCAGAAACGGACCAGTCAAGATTGAGCGTCGTTGTTGCCTTGTGTAATATTATATACGTATTGAAAACCGTTTTATTTAGGAGGAATGTTTGTCGCGTGAGTAATTAATTCAAGCGCAAAAGAAATGTAACGTTTCGGGTTTTGGCGCAAGTTGTGTATACAAGTACTTAGGGTATTCTTACAGCATCTGGGCGCAATGCTGTGTGCACCGTCCTGAGAGTACAGCCTCCTGCGCTAAAGCTTCCAAGTTCCGCAATGTGGCAATGCCCACAGGCCCACAATGCAATCTGCTAATCAACCAAAAGATCAACCTGAACAAATGTCTGCATGTTCTCTATCCGTACGTACCAAAGCCTAAATAAATTCAATTAATTAGTGGGCAGTCCAGCCCAGCACGGCGTTCCCTTTCCCCGGGTACGACAATCCAAGACGACACTCTTGGTAATCCTCTCGCTTCCTGTGACCCGAACCCTTTAACCCCGGGGCCATATAACCCCCGGGCCTTATAGACCACGCTTGACAGACATATATACATTTGTGTACACATATACATACATATATGCTACAGCAGATCACGGCAGCTGGTAAACCTCCATTACAGGACGATTTACGGAACACGTTAATGCGTTAACTCCCCCCCAAAATCCTCCATGCACCTAACCCCACACCCCTTTTCTCCCCCCTTTCCCACCGCTACCTCCCTTACCGCCTCCCTCCTCCCCTCCCCCTGCTGCTTCCCAGCCCTCCTCGCCACTGCCTCCCCCACTTCCATCTCCTCCCACATCTACCTCACTCCCCTCTCCCCCTTCCTCGAGCGCAACAACCTCGCCCCCATCAGAGCCACTGTCCAGTCCTGCACGCCTGCGGACCGCTGGCGGGCCCCGCACTGACCCGCCGCTGCCAGCCACTGCCGTGACCGCCCGCTTGGTCCCGGCCTCGGTCTCGGTCTCAGCCCTGTCGCCGCTGCCGCCGCCTCCCTCGTGCCCTCGTGAAGTGGCGTCTTGTCTTCTGGTGCGCCCTGCTCCCCCCGCCCTCACCACCACCTTGCGTGTTTGCTTGTCGTACAGGTCGCAGATGTCTTGTGGGGTGGTGGCGTCCTCAGGGCGCTTGTCCTCCCGGACGCGGATGAAGCTGCGGGACACAAGAGACACACCGACAGACTGTGTGAGAGAGTGTGAGAGTGTGAGAGTGTGTGTGTGTGTGTGTCTCTGGGTGGGCGGGTGGTTCAAAGTGGTTCGGAAGTTGGCACATTTCGGAGTTCGACTAGGGGGCCACCCGGTCACATGGAATTGTCAAAAGGTTCTCTCGTATAAGTCCATTCCATAGAGAAAATGAAAAGGGAGGGCCTGACCCGCGGGTCGGTCAGTCCGAAAGCAGCTGCCCGGGTTACACGGGGTTAGCAACGTAACAAGTTAGGTTCATTTGTCGATAACCACCATGTCAAAAGAGATGCAGCCTCATCCGATACCGCCCAGGCGGGGCCCTCTGGGCCTTATGCACCGACCCACCCGCACCGACCCACCGCGGGAACCTCATCCCTACGCCCCTCTCCGGGTGCCGCAGCCCCACAGCAGCTCGGTGCACCGGAGACAAAGTCAGATCTGCCGCCCGTAGGACCCGCAGCCATCACCACCCGTAGCCGCCACCAGCACCAGCACCAGCACCAGCACCAGCACCAGCACCAGCAGCAATCGTCAGCCGTCAGTCGTCCACAGCCGCATAAGCCAGGCGCGGCAGGGGGTAGACGGGTTGTAAAGTAGGGAGGAGGGGGATATGGGAAAGCGAGGGGCCTGAGAACATCACAGCCCAGCTAGTGGTGGTTGTGGTACAGCAGGCCGAACACAGGTCACAGGAGGCCCCTTTTTGGGATTGGGGGGGCTGGCGGAGCTTTGGGGGGTTGGGGGGTCCGCGGGGGGTATAGACAGACAGGGATCGGTGTTGGGGTGGTGGCAGGTCGTCTGGCCCCAGTAGTGTCTTGGGCCTGGCGGCCACCAGGTGCCCCCCACCTGCCCCACCTGCCCCTCACCTGCCCCCCTTAGCTCCCACACTTCAGTGGGCTCGAACCAAACACTGGGGCGCTCGGCCGTGTTGTAGTAGGGCTTGGGACCTGGGCAAGGTGAACGGGCAGGAGGGGGGGAAGGGGCGAGGGGGGAGGAGTGGGGAAAGACGAAACACGAGCGAGTGAAGGTGATGCCAAAGAAAGACTGCTGCGCCAGAAGTAAAGAACCAGGCATAACTAGCCATGATGTTTAGTAGTCATGACGATAGCGGAAAACCACCTACCTAGCCGCCAAGACTAAATTAAGGAGTGGGGGGAGAGGCGAGGGAGGGGGGAAAACCGAAAACCAGGGAAACGGAGTGTAAACGGTGCGGTGGAGGTGGAGGTGGAAGTAGAGGTAGGAATAGCAACCGCCTTGACTCGGTTTACGAGTACTTGTAGGTGTAATATCTACATATGTGTAATTGTGCATCTGCATCTGTACGTCCCCAGGCAAAAGGGGCAAGCAGCGCCCCTCAGCAGGGTGTCCCGGCAGTGGGGAGGGCGCAGCAGCAGCAGCAGCAGCAGCAGCAAGGGCCCCTCCCCCTCCCCCCCCGCTACGGCGAGGACCTCACCCGGGATGGTGACGGCTCCCAGTCGCTCCCGGGCCGCTGTGTAGAACTCGTCACTGAACCCGCTCATGCAGCGACACAGGCTCTGAAACTCCTCCCGTACAGGGTCGTACACCGCCAGCAGTACGGGACTGAACCACTTGACCTTGCGCCCCTGGCCGTACCAGGCCCCTATGGGCACCACATCCACGCTGTCCCTAAGACCCTCCACATAGTCACGTTTGATCTGGGGCAGCGGCCGGTGGTGGTGGTGGTGGTGGTGGTGGTGGGGTTTCGGAAGGGGGGGATAGGGTTGGGGGGTGTCAGTTATGATAAAGAAGAATTGAATTGAAATTTCTAAACGAAGGTGACCTGAGAGAGTATGTGCCCTGCCAAGTCTTTGCTTCAAGAGCCCTGATCTGTCCGCGGGGTGGTGGCCCTGGGGGGACCTTGGCAGGAGGCAGGAGGCTCACACCGGGGGGAGGGCCCTCTGCTTGGCTTCCTTACTCCCCTCCGTGACCCGGGGGGGGAGCGGAACACAAAGAAAAACAACAGATGAGTTTCACAGGAAGCGGCGAACCCTTGGGAAGAATGGAACGAGAGTTCTTATCCTTCTGGATCTGAAGACGGCTGAGGACTGCTTCCCTTCAGCCCGGCGCTAAGCTGAGGGTACGTCTTCATTCAGCCCGTGATGCACCCACCTCACCCCACCCCTTCTCCCCCTCCCAAGACCCCTCACGTAGAAACATACATACATATATACACACATACATACCTTTATCCAGCTTTCAGAGCGACGACTGGGCTCATAGGCGGCCCCTCCATCCAGCCGTTTTAGCATCAGACCTGAACCACCAGACCGCACCAACGCACGGACCACCGCTGAGCACACGTGTACACTGTCATGGCGCTGGCCATGGATCCGAGGTCGTAGTCATCACACGGCAGAAAACAAAATCATCCGCAGTGTGAAGGGTTGATTGGTGAGAGCGAACCCACCACTACAGCAACTCGGGAAATGGGACCCATGGGACGGCCCCCGCTTTCTCTCCCAAACCCTTTATGTCGACCCTTCAGCGCAATGTGTGTATAGCCGTAAATCACACCTTCGGCACCCGCGTTGAAGGCCTGCAGCAACATGTCGTACACAGCGTCACTGGCCGACGGGGCCGCCGCCGCCGCCGCCTCGTCCTCCTTGCCGTCAGAGCCGTCGTCGACGAGGTCTACGACACCGTCGGAGCCTGCGGCGGCAGAGGCAGCGGCGGCAGAGGCTGGTGCACGCTGCGGCACCGCTGCGGCGCCCGCAGCCGCCGCGCGCCCCGGACGGCGAGCGGAAGGCGCAGCCGCCAGCACCGGTCCCACGTCCTCCACCCGCCGTGCACCAGGCTCCCCCGGCGCCGGCCATAGCCGTACTGGCTCCGCCGCTGCCGCCGCCGCCGCCGCATCCTCGTCATCACCGCCTTTAGCTGCCGCCGCCGCTGTTGCTCCCTTCCCCTTCCCCTTCCCCTTCCTCTCCGCCGCCGGAGCCGGAGGTGGTGGCGCCTCCCGTAGCGGCTCCATCTCCGCTGCAGTTGCCAACATGACTCGCCCCGGGGACATCCCCGGCAGGGCGGCGGGTAGCAAGGCACGTCGCTCCCGTAGAGGTCTGCAAGTCGTGATGATAATTAGGGGGGGAGGGGGGGAAAAAGACGAACCACGAACGAGTGAAGCTGCTGCCAAGGAAAGAGTGTACAAGAAGCAGAACTGACCAGTAGGGGGAATGGGGGGTGAAGGGGGTGGCGGGTGGCGGGAAGTCAGAGTGAGTGAGTGAGGGCGAGACGGGATACTTTGAGGGTGTAGGAAGGGACCGGGTGGGGCCCAAAGAGGGTTTAGTTGCGTGTACGGAAGGCAGGGCTTACCACAACAACACACATATACGTGCACGCACGTGTGCGTGTGAATCCCCCCCTGACGGAGATGTACATGGCTTTCAGCCATTCACCGGCGTTACTACCATTGCCACTGCCACTACCACTGCTGCTGCAATTGTTGCTGCTGTTCATCAGCCCCCAAACCCCCCTTCTTCGTTCCCCCCAGGCCACCCCCCTGGAGCCGCCTACCTGTCCAGAAGGGCCTTGCCGTTCCAGAACAGCAGGTCGAACACGAAGACACATACCTGTACGGTAACCTAAGGACCAAGGGGGGCAGGGGGAAAGGGGGGAAGATGCAAGAGTACTGCCAACGGCCGGTATCTCGGGCAGAGAGGGGAAAGGGAGTCACATGCATATCAGGCAAATGATGTGAAGTGGAGTCTTCACTTCCTCTCCCTGCCCCCTCCCTCCCTTCTCCCCCACTTCCTACATCCCAAGTAAGGCAGTGGCAGTGGCAGTGGCAGTGGCAGTGGCAGTGGCAGTGGCAGTGGCAGTGGCAGTGGCAGTGGCAGTGGCAGTGGCAGTGGCAGTGGCAGTGGCAGTGGCAGTGGCAGTGGCAGTGGCAGTGGCAGTGGCAGTGGCAGTGGCAGTGGCAGTGGCAGTGGCAGTGGCAGTGGCAGTGGCAGTGGCAGTGGCAGTGGCAGTGGCAGTGGCAGTGGCAGTGGCAGTGGCAGTGGCAGTGGCAGTGGCAGTGGCAGTGGCAGTGGCAGTGGCAGTGGCAGTGGCAGTGGCAGTGGCAGTGGCAGTGGCAGTGGCAGTGGCAGTGGCAGTGGCAGTGGCAGTGGCAGTGGCAGTGGCAGTGGCAGTGGCAGTGGCAGTGGCAGTGGCAGTGGCAGTGGCAGTGGCAGTGGCAGTGGCAGTGGCAGTGGCAGTGGCAGTGGCAGTGGCAGTAGCAGTGGCAGTAGCAGTGGCAGTGGCAGTGCGGGCTTCTGTTGGCTGGTGGCTGCCGGGCGCATCCCCGTCCTCTCATCCCGTCACATATCTCCGCAACAACAGCCTCCCAGCTAAACCCTTCTTCCAACCCCCTCCCCCCCCCCCAGTGGCCCCACCTGGTGCTCCTCCACCGGCCCCCGGGCCCGTGTGGCCAACTCCTGGAAGGCACGGAGGCGGTACGGAGCAACGTCGGCTGTGGCTGGGGTAGCAGTACGGCTACTACCACCTCCATTCCCATCACCCCCACCCGCACCTCCACCCCCATCCCCACTCCGGGGGGCAGCTGCGGCAGTGCGGGGCTCCGACTCGCCCCCCGCTGACTGCTCCCCGCCACCACCCTCCTGCTGCTCCTGCTCTCCATCCTCCTCCTTATCCTCCTCCTCCGGCTGCTGTCCAGGGCCCAGCCACTGCACCGCCACCACTTCAGCGTCTAAAACACAACTGCTGGTGGAGGGGGTGGAAGCGGGGTTGGAGGTAGTACTGGGAGGCGTTTCCGTAGTGGTGCCTTGCAGCTGAGGCTGCAGCTGAGGCTGCGGCTGCGGCTGTTGTTGTTGTTGTTGCAGCTGTGTGTGTTTCACCGCAGTCTTGACGAGGGCGCACACATCCGGGAAGGCCTCCGTGCGGTCCTCACCATTGCGACTGAAGATGAGGACCTAAACGAGAGGGGGAGAAGGGGGGGGGACAGAGGGGGGGGCAGAGGGGGGTGGGAGAAGGGCCGAGTGGGGGGAAGAAGGGGGAGAGACGAATCACGAACGAGTGAGGCTGATGCCAAAGAAAGATTGACGAGAAGGATGAGAGAGAGAGGGAGAGAGTAGGGGGAAAAGAGGCTGAGTAGGCGAAGGCCATGTTGTGGTGATCCTCAACCTCATCCCTCTCCCTCCCGTCCTTAGGCCCCAACCATCATTCAGAGCTTACCACGAGCTACCCGCCTGTACGCCACCATCACCACCACCACCACTACAGCTAGAACAGCCGCAGCCCAGGCAAAGCGTCTCCCGGCCCGTTTTCTCTTTCCCCTGCCTCCCCCATCCTACCCTCCCGTCAGGCAGTAGGTGGATCTGTGCTCGTACTCCGTCGTACTTGTACTCCGCCAGGAACGGCACCCCCGGGCCTAGCTGCATCAGCCCGTCGGCCACTCCCCCGCAGATCTTGGCGAGCATGGGCTTGATGGGCACGCCCGGGGTCAAAACACACCTGCCGGTCAAAGGAGGATTGAACATGTGGGTGGGTGGTTTGGGGACACGTATGTGGGGAGGAGAAATGGGTTTTGGGGATACTTTTAACATCCTCTCTCTCTCCCTCCCACTCCGCCCTCCTGGCCCCTACTACCTGCTCCTCAGTCCCTCCACTCCGCCCTCCTAGCCCCTACTACCTGCTCCTCAGTCCCTCCACTCCGCCCTCCTAGCCCCTACTACCTGCTCCTCAGTCCCTCCACTCCGCCCTCCTAGCCCCTACTACCTGCTCCTCAGTCCCTCCACTCCGCCCTCCTAGCCCCTACTACCTGCTCCTCAGTCCCTCCACTCCGCCCTCCTAGCCCCTACTACCTGCTCCTCAGTCCCTCCACTCCGCCCTCCTAGCCCCTACTACCTGCTCCTCAGTCCCTCCACTCCGCCCTCCAGCAGCGCGGGCACCAGCACCTCGAAGTCGGGGCACAGATGGTAGGCTGCCACCACCGCAGCAGCAGCAGAATCGAGGTCCGCCTTACTGGGCGCGCCACCGCCACCGCCACCGCCACCGCTGCCACGCAGCCCATTACTCGGGCCCGGACCCGCCGCCGCCGCCGCCATAGTCCTCGTCGTGTCTGCCGCCGCAGCCTCCGCCTCCTCCTCCCCCTTAGCCTGATGTTGGTGTACGAGCACTGCTCGGCCCAGGGGCCCCAACACGCTGCGCCAGTTGGCCCCCACACGCAGGTTCTGGAGCGGCGTGGAGTAGTAGTGCGATGTAGTTGGGGGGAATAGCAAGGAGAATACGCGGGCATGGCAGAGGTGCGTGTGCGTTTGGCGGGGCGTGGGGGTCCGGGATTCGGGGGGATGTGGGGTATGGGTGTGTAAGTAAACCCTAAGTATGTATGCATATGTATGTATGTATATATGTATATATGTATAGCCGCCAATCCAACCGCCAACTCTAACCAGCCACCCACCGCCCCGTCCGCACCGATATAAGTGTGCGTGTCAGGTACTTGACTTCGCAGTCCCGGCAGGCACGCAGCATGCCCAGCACGGCCGCCTGCCTCCTGGCCGCCACACCACTGCCCCGGTCAGCCGCAATGGCCCTTAACTGCTGCAGCAGCCGGCCCACCAACAGGGGCTGCGGGGAGCGGAGTGTCGACTGCTTGCGGCGGCAGGCCTGGAACGGGTGTGGGGTACCACCGTGAGCGCATGGGGGGGGGGGGCAAAGGGTGTTGCAGGGTGCAGGGAGGGAGGGGAGACGAAGTATGTTGTGGGGCCCCTTCCCGGTCATGCCGCCGTACCAACCTGCGCCACGTCACCCAGGTCGCCGAACTGGCGGTACAGCTGCCTCAGCCCCGTAGCGCTGACGCCAGTTGCCGCCATCAGCGCGCCGCTGACCGTCGCGCCGCCAACCGATAACTCCATCTTCTCGTACTCGGGTGCGATGCGTCCAGTGACCAAGTAAAGCACCGCCACCAAGTCCTCCGCCGGCGTCGCCGCCAGCGCCAGTATGGAACGGAACATATTGGTAAGCGCGTCGGCGATGGCGAGGCGTTTCGGGGTGGAGTCTATGGCGGCCAAAGACAGCGCGACGTGGAGGTACGGCGTCGGCGCGCGCGCGGGGCCCCAACAAGCGTGCCGTACAGGATCATACTTGCCGAGTGGGAGCAACACCGCGGCGCGGAGCTCGTCCAATGCGGCGCCAATGGGAGGTGCCGGTGCCGGTGCCGGTGCTGCCGTCGCCGCTGCCGCTGCAGCTATCGTTTCTGGCACTGCCGTGGCGGCGGCGGCGGCGGCGGCGGGGGCCCCCTCGGCTAAGCCCCCGGCCTCTACGTTTGCATCTTCCTCCTCCCCCGCCTCCGCGGCCGTTGTGGCTTCGGATGTAACGGTGAGCTTTAGCTGCTGCCGTCGCGGCGGTAGCTGCTGTTGCTGTTGCTCGGCCTCTGCTACAAAGCCGCTGTTCCTGGCCACTGCCGCCGCCGCCGCCTGCGCGGTCTGGGTCTCTAGGTGGCCAAGTTGGCGGTCCTGGCGCTGCAGATCTTCAACCAAATTTGCCGTAGAGCGCTCGTGCCGGTGTTGCTGTTGTTGCTGTGGATGAGGTTGCCGCCCCTGCTGCTGGTGGTGGTGGTGGTGGGACGCCATTCCTGAATGTCGCATCTTGGCAGCGGCAGCAGCCGCGGCAGAGTCATGCTCCAGGTGACGATTAGCCGCCGTACCCCTCCGGCCGCCGCCGCCTCGCGGATTGCTGAGGAACGAATGCAGGGTCCTCTGGTGCTGCTGCTGCTGCTGCTGCTGCTGTTTTTGATTTTGGGATCCTTGCAACGTTTGGGTTGAGGACGGGTGTCCTGCGTGTTCTGCAGTAATGGCCGTCGGAATGGAGGGCGGCGGCGGCGGAGGTAAGGCAGGTGGGCCGGGGCCGGACATTAAACCGGGAAGGCCGTCGCCGCTGCCGCTGCCGCTGCCCTTGCCGTCGCCGTCGCTGCCGCTGCCCTTGCCGTCGCCGTCGCTGCCGCTGCCCCTGCCGCTGTCGCTGGTAAACCCAAACCCGGCGCTGGGCTGATCTCTGGTGCAGGCCGGGGCCTGCGGCGGCGGTGGCAGGCCGGCTCGATCTCCTGGGTCCCTAGGGTCTACCGCCGTACACGTCGGCCACTCGGCACCAGCCGCAGCAGCTCCCGACGAAGCCACACCATCGGCGGCTGTACGGCACGCCATCGGCGCCGTCACGGTCGCCCCGGGAGTCGGAGAGTATTTTGGCAGCTGCAAACAAAGCCGGGGACGCTTCGCGGCCGGCGAGCCCGGCGGCGGCGGCGGCGGAGGCGGAGGCAGCGTCGCCGCATCCCACGCACCGTCGTTCGCTGCCACGTCGCCGTCACCAGCGCCAATGCTTTCAACCCAGTCCAAACCGCCGCCACCACCAGCTGAGAGGTCATCCACGGCACCGGCGCAAGCTGTGTAAACGGCCCGGAATTGAGGTATCGCCACCACCGCCGCTGGCACGGCGGCTGCCGCCAGGCGGCCGTGCCGTCGGCTTCGTAACGGTGCGGCGGCAACGTCGGCGGATCCAAGGCCAGCATCGGGGGCGGCGGACTGAGTACCAATGAAGTCCAGCGCCGGCCCTGCCGCCGGCACATTCATGTATGCACCCGCCGGGGGCGCGTACAGCGCCGGCCCGCTGAGCCCCGTCACCGCCGCCGCCGCCACACCGCCGGCACTCACCCCCGGACCGGCTTCCGACTTACTGCCGCCCTGGGGTACAGCGCCGGCAGAGAGTGGCATGGAGGGCAGTGCGAGGAACTCATCTGGTGCAGTCGACTCTGCACAATCGACGCTATACCTCTTCTCCTCCGCCACCTCTCTATCCTCATCTTCCCGCGTCGCAAGCAAAGCTGTGTAGGCATTTACGGCTCCGGCGGTCGGGGCGGTCGGGGCGGTACCGAGTATAGGCCTAGTGTGCAAGCAGCCTGCGGTTGTCCCCCAAGGGTAGTGCTGGTGGCCAGGAGCTGCAGCTGCACCAGCCGATGGTGCCGCCGTCGCTGACGTCGCCTCGCCTCCCGCCCCAACCACGGCCACCGTACAGCGGGACTCTTGGGGCAGGGCTGCTGCCGGTGTGTCGTGGACCCCTATCGGAGCACCGCCGCTGACGGCCACGTCCTTGCCGTGGAGCCCGGCGCCACCGCTGGTGCTACTGCCGCCGCCAACGGTGCCGTCACCGCCGTTAGCGGCACCACCAGCAGCACCCGCGACGCCACCGACATTGCCGCCGCATGGTCGTACAAGGAACGACGCAATGGAGCGCTGGACGGGCCTTCCCTGGAGACCCTTGCTTCTACCGGCCGCCGCCGCCGCCGCCGCCGTCGCCGCCGATCCTTGAGGATGTGACAAGCGCGCCTTTTTACTGGGGCGAGCAGCTCCGCCGCCAGTCGCAACAGCCGTGGCGGCGGTGGCCGGTGTACGGGATCTGATTGACGATTTAGCACCTGCGCTGCGCCGGCCGCCGCCGCCGCCGCCGCCAACGCCAACGCTAGGCGACGGCAACGGCGGCAGCCCACCATCAAAATACAGGTTCGCCGCCGCGGCGACGTCGTTGCGTGTGGCTGCTAGAAGCCGCTGCGCTTCCTGAAGGTTGGCTCCGGAGCCAAGTACGGCCATCAATTGCTGTAGCGACGACGATAATGACGAAGGCGACGGCGACGGCGACGCTGGTTGAGACGACTCTGGAGGCCCCGTGTCGGCGCAGCCTTGTGGCGCTTCCCCGCGGCTCCTTGCTCCCGCCTCGCCGCTCGGGCGATCATTGCCAACCTCGCCTCCGCCTCCGCCTCCGCCTCCACCTCCGCCTCCACTTCCGCCGACGCCGCCGCCAGGCCCTGTCCCTTCTGCTTCGTTCTTCACTTCCACCTCCTCCACCTCCCCCAACCCCTCCTCCAACGCCCCGCAGATGCCGACATTCTGGGCACATCCCACCTCCGCCTCCGGCTTCACAAGGGTGCCACCACCGCCGCCCTCACCGCTCCCTCCTCTTCCGCCGCCACCGCCGCTGCATTGGTTGTCGCCATTCCTTCCGCTGTTGGCCTCCCCAGCTCCGAAACCGTTGAAGTCGGGCTCGTGTGGGTTACCACACACACCTCCACAGCCGTCTCCACCACAGTCATCGCCGCTGCCGTACCTCCCTAGCTGCTTCACAGACTGCTGGTGTTGCTGCCGCTGCAGCGGCAGTAGCGGCAGTGACGGCGGCAGCATCGGCGTCGGCCTCTCTGCGGAATGCAATACGAGTTCCGCAGCGCCGCGGCTATCGTCACCGCCGCTACCGCCTCCATCGCAGCTGCGAGCAGCTCTCCCACTGTTCCTCACTTCTCGCTCTTCTTCCTCTTCCTGCACCAGCTCCTCACCCTCGCAGCCATCACTTCCACCATCCCTACCCGAAATACCACTGTCACTGCCGCTGCTGCTGCTGCTGGCAATGACGATCACCTCTTTTACAACCGGACAACCCCGCCCCACGCCTCCTGCCCCGCCGCCGCCGCCGCCGCTGCCGCTACTGCCGACCTTCTTCTTACCGCCCCGCTGCTGCCGCCCCCACCTATCCCCTGGTCCCCGCCGCCCGGCTGCCGTCCGGCTGCCTGACACCCCGCGGCCCCCGCTCTGCAGTTGCGCCTCCGAGCCCCGGCACATCGGCCCCTCAACACCCGCATGCAGCTGCAGCTGCCGTCCCACACTCCGCTCCGAAGGTATCGGACCCGGAGGTACGGCGAGCGGCTGCTGCGGCTGGGACGGCGTCCATGGCATTGTCGCTGTGCCCTCTACCTCCGTATCCGCCAACGCCGGATGCGGACCGGATGGGTTTATTGCCGCAGCCGCGCCGGCGGTGGCGGTGGCGCGGCCGCGCATGCCGGCCAGGAACTTGGCCTTGCTGGCGGTCTCGTCGACGAGTGTGCGGAAGTGCTTGAGCATGGCGGCTCGGTTGCGCTCGCCATCGTCGCCGCCGACGCCCACCGTCGGAATGACCTGTGGCGTAGGGCCGAGTGACGCGACCCACGGGTCATGGGCCATCCCGTCATATGTCCCGGACATGGATGGAGGAGGGAGCACGTGGCATGGCACGTGGCGAGTTGCTCATCTTTGTTTGAAGGTCAGGTTGTAGAAATAAGAACACACCGGAGACCAGGAGGGGGGTGGAAGTGCGGAGGTGCTGCCAGTAGCATGTGTACGCGGGTAGATCTGAAGTGGCACCAAGATCGCGTACTCAGCCAAGCTCGTAGCAAGCTCATACCGTATTAGGTTGTACCGTATACAATTCCCACCTTGCGCAACTTTCATTCACCACCCACTACCACCCACCCACTACCACCCACCCACTACCACCCACCCACTCTCCCACCCACCACTCACCCGCTGGGGCCGCAACCAGCGGACGTACTCCCGCAGCTCAGAGTAGCTCGAGTGCTCACTGTACGGCACCAGGTGCACAGACAGCGACCCACGGGTCCGTACAGGAAATGCCGTCCGCTTCATCTCGTACAGCCAACCCGTGGGGCAAAACCCCACCACCGCCGGCGCGCCCATCTCCTCCGCAATGCGCTGCATGTTGACAAAGTTGGGTCGGAAAAAAGGCCACGTCTCGCCCAGCGTGCCCCAAGGCACTACGTGCACGGGTGTGACCCGCGGGTCAGTGGTGAACGTATCAGCCAGCTGCTGCTCGGGCAGCCCCAGCAGGCTCAGTACGGCAAGCTTGGTTTCGGAGACGTACACTCGTACTCCGCAACGTTGACGAATCTGGCAATGCGTGAGGCGTGCGCGAGGTGGGGTTGAGGTGATAAGAGGTGACAAGGTGCGCCTGTCGTTGAGGGGTTAGGGGAGTTGGGTTCTTATAGGGGCTAAAAAGGAGGTAAACGGGTTGTTGGAAAAGGGTTTACTGTGTTGCCCTCTGACGCCTACCATACAAAGTCCCTAGACACCAAGACA